GCCAAGTTCCAGCCGCCCCCCGTGGACATGCGCATTAGGCGTGAGCCGGTCGTGAGCGCGCCCCAGCGGGTGGCCAACGCGCGCGAGCGAGCCCAGCACTATGCCGGCGCAGCAGCAGCAGCAGCAGCACACAAGGGCGGCAGCGGCGGCGGAAAGGACAAGGGCCTCGACGCTGAGGAGCGTGAGGCGCTGCGGAGTGAGTTTCGCGAGCGGTTCGCCCCCGGTGCCAGGGCCATGCCCAACTCCATCACGGGCCTCGCCGCGCTCGCCAACGAGAGGATCGAGGACGCCATTGCGAGGGGTCAGTTCAAGGACATACCGCGTGGTCGGGGCATTGAGCGAGACGCGAGGGCCGACAACCCGTTCATCGACACGACAGAGTATATCATGAACAAGATGATCCAGCGGCAGGAGATTGTGCCCCCCTGGATCGAGAAGCAACAGGACCTGGTCAAGCAGGCCGACATATTCCGTGCGCGTCTCCGGGTCGAGTGGAAGCGCCACGTTGCGCGGACAATCGCGTCCAAGGGCGGCTCGATGCTGGAGCAGATGAGTAGGGCGGAGCTGTACGCGCGCGCCGAGCAGGTGCACAACCCGAGACTGCGCAGGGTCGACCAGATCGCGGTGGCGGCTAGCTCTACGGATGACCCGGTCATGGTCCAGATGCGGCAGCCAGTCGTTGACGATGCTATTGCTGCTGCTACAGGAGAAACCCCACGACAAATGCAAGACCTCCCCGGCGAGGTCCTCCCGGCCCCCTTTCGGGATCCAGAGTGGGAGAGGGCCGAGGCGGGCTACCTGCAGCTGTCCATCGAGAACCTGAACAAGATGACGCGCGAGTACAACCTCATGGCGCCCGATCTGGCCAAGAAGCCGTATTTCTCCCTGTCGCGCGAGATGGCCTCGCTGTACGCCGATGTGGCCCCCGACGTGGCGCGGGAGATCCAGGAGCGGGCGACGCGGCCCAGGCAGACGGTCAGCGTCTTGGGGGCCGCGGAGAAGAAGGCCAGCAGCTTCCTGGAGCACTTCAAGACGAACGATAGACCGAGGATCCTCGAGTCGCGCGAGAAGGCGTATGGGCTCCGGGAGTGGTGGCGCGACCTCTGGGGCAAGGCTTGAGGGGGGAGGCCTTGTGCAGAATACATATCAGAGGATGTGTTCAAGTACATAAAGATTATTATATTGTAAGCGTGCCGAAGAAGAGTCGCTGCGCTGTAGAGTATCTGGCATTATATACATTATGTTCGTTATATGTGGAGAGTTGATCGTGTCCCATCATCGTCATTCCTGGCAATCACCTCACTACGCATTGGCGTCCGCGGTCGCCGGGGCGCCACGTGCGTCGGTGGCCTTGACCTTTGTGAACTGGTTGATCACATTGTCCTCGACGTGCTCGTGGTAGACGTCGACGCTCGTGGTCGAGAACTTGCGCGCCGAGACACCCTGCTCAAAGAGCACGTCCAGCTCGGCGTAGGTGCGGCCCTTGGGCTCGGGGAGGCGGAAGAAGACGTAGACGATGCAGCAGAAGCAGAGGCCGGCCCAGAAGAAGCCGGCGTAGTTGGACCAGTTCCACTCCTCGGGGTTGAGCATGTACGGCGTCAGGACACCGGTCACAATGGCGATGATGAGGCTAGCGCTCTTGTTAGCAGGTCGGCAGTACACCAGGGCAAGCAAAAAGAACTTACTAGAGATTGCGACCCAGGACGATGGTCTTGATCTGCAGGCGGCGCGACGACAGCTCCGCCACGAGCGAGTACGTGATGGTGCCGACGCTCAGCTGGTAGAACAGCGCCCAGCAGACCATGATGCTACCCGTGGCCAGCGCACCCTGGTCGCGGTGGCTCTCGGGGACGAGGCCCAGGAAGCCGAGGATCAGGAGCATGGCGAACAGCAGGCAGAGACCGTAGAGGAAGAGCGAGCGACGACCGAGCCCGACGGTCATGAGGCCCCAGGCACCGAAGACGCCGACGACGTTGATGGCGTACTGGCCCATGGCGAAGGCGTACGAGTTGCGCTCCGACAGACCGGCCTGCTTGAGGAAGTAGCTCGAGTAGTTGCTAAAGGTGTTGCCCGAGAGGTTCTGCGCGGCCCACACCATGCAGACAATCTCGGTGCGGCGCAGGTCGACGCCCTTGAAGCAGTCGAGGTACGAGGCGCCGGCGGTGATCTTCTCCTCGAGGGCCGTCGTGTGCACCATCATACCAATGGTCTCGTCGGCATCAAAGGTCGGGTGGTTTTTGGAGGTCAGGCGTAAAAGGGCCTTTTTGGCGTCCTCGACACGACCCTTGCGGACGAGCCACCAGGGCGACTCGGGGGCGCAGAAGATGCCAATGGCCAGGGGAAGGGGCCACATCCACTGGAGACCGTAGGGGATGCGGTAGGCCCACTGGTCGGTGCGGTCCAGCATGGAGTAGATGACGCTGCTTCCTGTTAGCTGCTGTGCTCGTCTGCCGTAGTCCAAGAGGGGAGGGTAGATGCTCACCCAACACCGATGAGTTGACCGATACCCCAGCACGCGTTGACGTAGGTCGTCAGGTAGCCGCGCAGGGCGACGGGGCAGATCTCACTGGCGTAGGAGATGGTGATGGTCTGGAAGACGCCCCAGGGGATGCCGCAGAGGACCTCAGCCGCCAGCAGCGTCTCGACATTCTCGGCCATGAAGAAAAGCGTGATGAAGGCCGTCAGCCAGACCAGGGAGCCGATAAGGGTCCATCGGTAGCCGAAGCGCTCTGCGATGAAGCCACAGAAGAACAGGCCAAAGATCTCGCCGCAGTAGGCGCCGTTGCTGAGGCCGGCCTGCCAGCGGGCGGGGATCTCCCAGTTGCCATTGTCAAGCTGCTCACCGTACTTCTTGTTGAAGGTGCCGAAAGCGTCTGGGCGGGAGTGGTTAGTCGGACTGGCCTTGCTTGCTAAGACACGGGGTTGGGTGGGTGTGGCGGCCACCTACAAAAGTTGTTGATGAGGCTGATGTCGTAACCCTCCATGATGATGGTGGAGGAGATGAGGAAGCTGAAGAAGATGGCCTTTGGGTAGAGGCGCATGCCCTCCCAGAGGGTCATGGTCTGCTCCTTTGCAGCGGCGGCGCGGGCGTGGTCGATGACTTGCTGGTGCGCCTTGCTCTCGGCCGGCGCATCCATGTAGTCGGCATCGGGTCCAGGGGCGGGCCTCACGCCGCTGTCGTCGATCTTCTCGGCCATGTTGTGCGAGGCGTGATGGCGAGTGAGTGCGGAAGTGAGCGAGCGAGCTGAGATGAGGGGAGGGAGTGAGGGACTGGACTAAAGGTGAGAGGAGTCGCGTGACAGCCAGACGGGTTTTGAGAATTGGATGGATGGATGGGCGGAAGGCAGGAACGACCGGCAAGCTTGGGATGCTAATCGAGGTGGGCCCCCCACAGCAAATTTGTCTCCGTCCCTGGATCGCGTCGCGCACTCCGACAAGTGCGTGCAGTTCTTTGTTGGTAAAGACGCTACTGTAATTTATTAATGAATACCCCAGAGCCGAGGGCGAGATTCATCAAGGAGAAGATGAGCTGGCGAGCTGCCTGGCGCCCTGGAGAAAATCCCACCCCTGTCTGCCGAGTCGATTGTCCTCATGCTCATTCGCCTGCTAGGCCGACACTTTGACTCTTTGAGCTGCGAGTCCGTCTATTAGTCTCGTGTGGGGAGGGGCAGAAGGGGTTCATCGGCGCCTGCAGGGACGCTTGTCCGCTCTGGACAGCACTGGTATGAAGATGGAGGTTTGCCCAACAAATACGGAGTAGTCTGCAGTCTTTGGAGAGCGCTCGCGGGAGGGCGCAATATCCCGACGGGAGGGCGGGATGGCTCAGGCACGCCGAAGCCTTCCAGAAGAACTGGGGAGGCGCCCATCGACGTCGCGCTGACCTGGTGCCTCCAAGTATGGTGGTTGACGGTCGTGACTCGTGAAGCAGTTAGCAAGTCTACGTACAATGCCGACCTCACAATGATCTGCATGCCGGCTGACCACCCACCACCCCCTGGAGCTCTACCGGCACTTGTGTGCTGAATGGACGGATATTGAATCTTGTGCGTGAGCTGTACGGCCATGGTCCCATTGGTGTGAGCCTAGCCTACCCTGTACTGTGGTGCTGCGTTCGCATTGCTCCCCGTCATGCGCTCAAGGACTTTCCGCTCTTCTATTGGACATGCCTTTCATGAAGTAATTATTTCTATTTGGCATTATGTCGATCCTTGGAGCCAGGGCGGGTTTAATAGGTGTGGTAGCTATTGCTGCAATGAAAGCCAGCAGGACAATGTGATCACATGCTTGCGCACAACAAATTGCGCCCTGCCGACACCGAGCAACGTCCGAATCAACACCGACCCATCCGACTAGCACTAAATAATTATCGAAGCGCAGCATTCCGAGGCCATTCAGTCAAGATGCTGATGCGATGGGACTGGATCCCGTGTTGCAGCACAGTCATCAGACAGTAATAGCGTACATCCCCCAGACAGCGCAGTGGAAGGGCATGACTAACACGCCGCCCTTCAAGGAGTGTATCATCCCGTTAGTGCAATGCGGGTGCTGACTGCGCGATCCTTCGGCGCTCCCAGTGCTCTCACAGGGCCTACAGTGGTGTAGCCACAGCGGTCAGTGACCGGGTAAATGCACGGCAAATTCAAGCTGGCCTCGGAGAGCTAGCAGCTCTGATCAACCACGACATGAAAAAGATGGTAATGAATAAATGATCAAGGAGAAGCATTGCCCTACAGTACAAAGGCAATTGGTCCTAATATAGCACCGTGCTGTTGCCATGACACAGTAAGCGCACCTATCCCGAGTCCAGGCAGTTCAGCCCTGACCCCGGTCGGTGGTTCGATGCGGCCAGTGGATCCAGTCCTTCCCTGACCGGGCCGGCGCACCCCCAGACAAACATCTCCATCCACGTCAGTCAGTTCCTTTCCCTTCTCTCCCGCCTTTCTCCCTCTGCCTCCAGTCCTTCTGCAATCGCACTCACCACCACGCAAAGTCTGCCCACGATGCTGTCTACCACCATCAAGACCGGCGCCCGCCACTCGGCCCTCCGCACAGCTGCTGTCCCTGCCGCTGCCGCGCGCGCCTTTTCCATCTGGGGCAACGTCCCCAAGGGCCCTCCTGTAAGTGACTCCAACAGAGAGAGAGAATGTCCATATTGCCCGAAACTTTCGCTAACAAGGTCGAATCCAGGACGTGAGCCATCCCTTGTTCACCAGCGACAGCATTGGCTATCTGTCATCGCGGCCCAATCGATGGTGCTAACTGTCCTTCGCAGGCTATCCTGGGCATCACCGAGGCCTTCAAGGCTGACTCCAACGAGAAGAAGATCAACCTCGGTATGCATGCTTGGCCAACCCACAGGGCCAGATCAAAACTAACACCGCACAGGTGTTGGCGCCTACCGCGACGATGCTGGCAAGCCCTACGTCCTGCCCTCGGTCCGCGAGGCGGAGAAGCGCGTGATCGAGAACAAGATGAACAAGGAGTACGCCGGCATCACCGGTGTCCCCGAGTTCCCCTCGGCCGCCGCCAAGCTCGCCTACGGCAACGACTCGCCCGTCCTCGACAAGATCGCCGTCACCCAGACCATCTCCGGCACCGGTGCCCTGCGCATCGGCGGCGAGTGGCTCAAGCGCTGGTACTCGGGCGACAAGGTCATCCGCATCCCCACCCCCTCGTGGGCCAACCACAAGGCCATCTTCCAGGACTCGGGCCTGACCGTCGAGCCGTACCGCTACTACAACAAGGACACCATCGGCCTCGACTTTGACGGCATGGTCGCCGATCTCAAGGCCGCGCCCCCGGGCTCCGTCTTCCTCTTCCACGCCTGCGCCCACAACCCGACCGGCGTCGACCCCTCGCCCGCGCAGTGGAAGGAGCTGTCCCGCGTCTGCCTCGAGATGAGCCACCTGCCCTTCTTCGACATGGCCTACCAGGGCTTCGCCTCGGGCGACTCGGACGCCGACGCCTTCGCCGTCCGCCAGTTCATCCGCGACGGCCACAAGATCCTCCTCTCCCAGTCGTTTGCCAAGAACATGGGTCTCTACGGCGAGCGCGCCGGCGTCTTCTCCATCGTCGGCGAGGACGCCGAGGAGGCCAAGCGCATCGACTCGCAGCTCAAGATCATCATCCGCCCCATGTACTCCAACCCCCCCATCCACGGCGCCCGCATCGCCTCCCAGATCCTCAACGACCCCAAGCTCTACACCCAGTGGCAGGGCGAGGTCAAGGGCATGGCTGACCGCATCATCACCATGCGCAAGCTCCTCCGCGAGAAGCTCGAGGCACTGGGCTCCAAGCACGACTGGTCCCACATCACCTCCCAGATCGGCATGTTCGCCTACACCGGCCTCAAGCCCGAAGAGGTCGAGAAGATTACCAAGAACTACTCCGTCTACTTCACCAAGGACGGCCGCATCTCCGTCTCCGGCATCACCAGCAAGAACGTCGACCACCTCGCCGAGGCCATCTTCCAGGTCAAGGGTTAAATGGAGTAGAGTCGAGTCGAGTCGAGTCGGATCATCAAAATGTAGAGAGGGACGGACGATACCATGACGTTTGACGATCCATGTACTAGTACTATGCAATTGTCTGCCTGCGTGCCTGCGTGCCTGCCTTACCCTCACCCTCGTTGCTGCAGTCGTTTGAGGTCGCCCTTGGCATCCTCCACCTGTCGCGCCATGTCCCTGTATACACGCGCCATCTCCCTCATTGTTCGCTCCTTTGCCTCGCCGCCCGGGACGCCCACGCCGTAGTCCCCCAGCTCGGCCGTGAGACTCTTGATCCTCTCCCCCGTGCGTGCCTTGGCGTCCTTCAGATGCAGGGCGTACTTGTTCAGAGCCGCCATGGCGTCGGAGGAGTACACCTCGCCGGTGGTCGTGTGCAGCGCCATCTCGACGTTTTGGTGCACGTGTCTTGCCTCCAGTGACGCCTCCGTCGCCCGCAGATCCAGATTCCGGGCAATGACGCCGTGTTTTGACTCCAGCGTCCTGATCAACTTTGTGAGACAGCATACGTAGAGGTCCATCAGCTCAAGCAACTTGGACAGCGCTTCCAGAGGCGCTTTGACCAGTGATTGGTGCGCGTCGCGCTCTTGCTGTGTCAAGCTTGCGAAACTGGTCGCGAGCGCGGGGATATGCCGGTGTAGGTACGAGGGGTTCGTCGACAGATGTGTGATCCTCGCCAGATTCAAGGCGGAGCTGCGCAGATGCGACGAGAGAAGACTGGTCAAGTCGGGCATCAAGTCATCGAGCTCTGTCAGGGGCGGACTGGACAGCAAGAGGGATACTTCATCTTCGGCAACGCCTGGGCCCGAGGGAGCGAGCAGTGGCGGTAGGATGAGGAGGAGGTCGAGGAGTGGCTCGGGCAGGGTCGGTCGCTGCGACTGACGGGGATTCAGGGACCGAGACGGCGGTGGCGGCGTGAGCGAGGACAGTGCCTGTGTCAGGAGGTGCTGCTTGGCGGCTTGCAGGCGGTGTTTCTCGAGTTCGTCCTTCACCCGCTGGCGTTCCTTCACCGCGGGGTCCTCCCGTGTCGAGCCATCGGGGTTCAGCACGACGTTTGTGAGCTTGTTGTAGAGGTTGGCAAAGTCGGGATTGGACTGGAGAATGGCTTCGTCTATGGGCGGGAACATGCTGAGTGGTTGGCATTGGCATGTGGAACAATTGAGGTACTAGCACTTGGACCGCTGGATGGGTCCCGCGAAAGGAACGCGATGGCACGTGACGCCAATCAGCGGAGGATCCCCGGGGGCAGCCTTGGTCCAAATTTCTTGGATGGACTGGAACTATTACGGGTGATATCGACGAGAGCGACGACGACGACGACGATAGCGCTGCAGCGATACTGTACAAGTCTTCAATGCGATTATAACGACGAGCGACATACTCACGGCGACGACCATGTCCTTCACAGCGCCCCTGCGCTCGTCGCTGGCGAAACCATCCTCGAGTCGCCTGTTCTCGACAACATCCACCCTCCAGACCAAGACCATCAAGCCCCAAAATCTACCGGCCATTGCCTGCCCGCCGTATCCCTACGGTCCCCGCCTCATCTACAAACAGTCCAACAAGGGCCTGTACGGCACGACCCGCGTGCGCTTCGGCAACAATGTGTCGGCACCACACAAGGTGAAGACGCCCCGTTTCTGGCGGCCCAACGTGCACATTCGCATCTACGACGTCGCCTCGCTCGGCTGCAAGGTCCGCACAAAGCTCACCATGCGCGTGCTCAAGACCATCAAGAAGGAGGGCGGCCTCGAGAACTACCTGCTCAAGGACAAGGCCGCGCGCATCAAGGAGCTCGGCCCCACGGGGTGGAAGCTGCGCTGGGCCGTGATGCAGACCAAGGCCGTCCGGGACAAGTTCAACGAGGAGAGGCTGGCCAAGGGGTTGGAACCCCGGCCGTGGACCGAGGAGGACGCCAGGATGCTGCGGTTCGCGCTCGACCACGCCACGCCCGGTAAGCTGAGCATCGAGGGACGTGGCGTGCTGGCCGAGCTTAAGGCTAGGGACGTGTTCACACTGGGCAACGAGGAGCTGGGCGAGGCCGTGGGCGAGGCGATTACGGATGAGACTGAGCCGGAGCTTCTGGCCAGGGAGGAGCTCGAGCAGGAGGCCGAGGCGGGGAGAGCAGGTCACCTCAAGGCATGAAGATGGACATGATGTATCAGTATGTGTGTTCAATGTACACTATATGTACGAAAAAATGGATGCTTGGGCTAGTACATGCAAGTAGATAAGTACGTAGTCAACGCACGCTCGGATGTAGCCATTTGTTTTGTATTCAGGTCCAACCTAAGGCTTAAACAATCTATGACTTGCCTAGGCTACAAGAAAAAAAAAAAAAAAAAAAAAACTCCCGCTTATAGACCGACCACCAGTGAGTAAAGGTCCAAACTTGTGGTGGTCACGGTGGAATCCATTCAGTCATGCCTCGTCACAAAAAATGCCTTTATCCAAAACCCTCTTAAACGCCCATCCGGTTGAAATGCTTTCGAGCACAGCCCGGCGAGTTGATATGTTCTTGAAGTTATGTCCCTTTTTTTTTTTCGTAGCTTTGTCTTTTCGGGTGAGAGACAAAAGAATGATCAAAACTTGTTGCTCGCGTGGTCAATCTCGCCGTAGGAGCTGTTCCGGACGTGTCCTGCGTTGTGTCTTGGCCGGGCACCGACTGCGCCGGTCCCCTTCTCGTCGCCACTGCCGTAGTAGCCACCCTCAATGTGCGTCTCGGAACCGTGCGGCTGGAACTGGTCGCTTTCGCCTGTCCAGGCCTGCGGTTGCGAGCGAGGCGTCAGAGGAGGACGGTCATCCCCCGTGAAGCGGAAGCCATTGCCTCCCCCTTCGGCGCGGGTCTTGTCTGGCATAGCCATCCCGGCAAGGGCGCGGATGACACCGAGAAGGACGACGATGACGTAGACGAGGAGGATGCCCGTGGAGATGAGGGCCTCGACGACGATGCCGTTGCGCAGCCAGTCAACGACCTTTTGCACCGCACCAGAGACCTCATCCTCGGTGGCATCCCCAGGCGCCGCGAGGAAGGTGCTCATGTCCGAGTCGCCGTCGATGGACTCTGCCGCGCCGAGGCTGAAGGTGTCGTTGGCAAACATGGGAAGCGCGACATGGGCCTTGTCGTGGACCCAGGTCAGGCCCTTTTGCACGCTCTCGACCTTGAGACCGATGATGCAGCGGACCACGGTCTTGATGGGGTCGACGAGGATGGTATCGTCAAACACCGTCTCAATGCCGTCATTGATCTTGTCCATGAAGACGGTCAGGGTGTCGTTGACCGCGTCGGTCGCGTTGGTGACATAGGCGAGGACGTCGTCGTTGATGTCGTCCTCGAGACCCTGCATCACGCCGTTGGCGTCGGTAGCCCACTCCTCCGAGACGTGGTTCAGGCTGCCGACGACATCGCCGGCAAACTCGCCCACCTGCTTGGTGAGGGCGGGCACCTGGCTCTGCACCGCGCGCAGCAGGATGAATTGGCACAGGCAGGAGAAGAGACCGGCCAGGGCCAGCGAGAGGACAAAGATGGCCGAGGGAGAGGTTGCGTAGGCGATGCACCATCGCACCAGGACCTGCCTCTTCCCGGAGAAACGAGAGCCCAGCTTGACGCCGAAGCTCGAGGTGGTGGGCCGGGAAGCAATGTACACCACGTCCATCGGATCAAACGAGTTCTTCTCCACGAGACGGGCATGGCGTTGCGTGCGCCTCCACCGCTTGATCTCGTACCACGCCATGGGTGCAATGACAGCCACGGCCAGCAGCACGAGAACGACGATGAAGATGATGCGGGACTTTGCGATGAGATCGTAGAGACTCTGGAAGAAGTCGTTCAGAGTATTGTTGTCCGAGCAGAAAGTCATCTTCTCCTTCTGCGCGAGGGGGAACACATCGCGATTGAACTTGTAGTCGCCATAGCTGTCGTTGAGGGCCTTGCGGACATAGTCGAACGGGATGGCAATGGTCTCCTGGGTGATGTTCTTGACCTCGTCAAAGTTGGGAATGTGCTCGTTGACCTTGCGGATGTCCTTGGCAAAGTCATTGGGGTCGAGATCAAAGTTCTTGAGCTCTGCGATGGGCTTGGAGAAGTCGACCTCGGGCTTGTCGTTGGATCCGGGACTGAAGAAGTCGGTGACACCGTCAAGGATGTTGTTGATGCCGTCCTCAATGTCGCTGGAGATGGACTCAATGTCGTCTGTGGCGCTGTCGATGAGCTTGTTGACCACCTTGCCAATATCCTCGGTGACGGAGGCAACGGCGTCCAAACTGCCCTTGATGAGGGCAGTAAGGAGGCAGACGTACGTGCCCACGAGGAAATTGATGAAGAAGAAGATCATGCTCTCCACCCCCGTGAGGATCATTTCCAGGACGGAGACCATGGCCTTGACGGCCGTCTCGACGCCCATGGCCGCCATTTCGTTCACACCAAGCGAGAGGTAATGAGGCATGGATGCCATGGAGCTGCCGACGTCCTCAACCTTGGTACATGCTGAGAGGGCCTTTTCCTTGGCCGAGCCCACATTGTCGTTGAGTGATGCGATGAGCAGCAGCACTCGGACCAGGACGAGGAGTAGCAGGATGGTCCATCGGTTGATCCATATTTGCGAGAGTCGAGAACGGAGTCCCAGATAGGGAGTGAGATTGGATGCCGATGTGGCCCTGGCGTCCTGGATCTTGTCGAAGCCAGATAGCTCGACCGAGTCGGACCGCAGTGAGCCGGGCACATCGGGGTATGTGTGTTGATGCGGGGGGTCCCGCGGGGAAAACATGTTGATGAATCTATTCATCGCGTTGGTCAAAGATGCAATATATCGTGAGTAGTGCGTATGTGTATATAGAAGCGAGTCCAAAACGATGTTGTCACGCCCGCGGGACAAGAGGTCGTTCAAGGAGAAGTGGTGTAAGAAGAACGATGCAGAACAGCAGGATAGCAAAGGAAAAGTGACAAAGGAAACACTCGTCAACACGCAGCAATGATTCTATGTGTTCATGACCGGCCGTGAGGTTTGTCTTATTCAGTGAATGAGAACAATAGGAACAGGGCCCGGTCCGTAGCACAAGAGTTGAGGCGGCTGACTGACTATAAGGGAGCGCTGAGGGCGTGATGAACGAACGGTGGCAGTGAGGCCGAGAAAGCTGCGAAACAATGGACTCACCTGATCTTTTTCCGTAGTGAATGCGAAGCAAACACAGCAGATCCTCCAATCACAGGATAATCTTCGTCTTTCCTCAATCAGAGTCGATTCTCTGGTCGTGGAGTGGGCGCGCGCGCTTCCCGTACGGCGGCTAAGCGCTGGGCGACTATCGACAGCCAGTCAACACGCCGAGCTCAGGGTCGGCTGGCGGCCGGCGTCAACGTCGACTTTTTAAAATAAACCCTGGCCAGAGAATGTCTGAAACCGAGGCCAAGAGAATCCTGGGTACGGAGTAGTAGAACTTGTCGGCTGGAGAAGCCACTGCGTTCGTTGAGAGTCGCTCCTGATATCCTTGTCGGCTTGCACAACAAAGTAACGGCACCGAATGTCGACAACAGACAACACCAGAGACCTCAGACCACCAAGTGAATGGGGCTTTCCGTGTCTCTTGTGCTCTCTGGCGAATATCGGCTCACAAGTTGAAATATCTTGTTTGCTGCGCAAGGGGGTACACCTTGGAGCGCAATAGGTAGTGAAAAATGGTGCCCATCCGTCCAGGAACATCGCCCGGAGGGCGACGACAGACCATGGTGTTTTATGGTATTTCCTCGCCCAGACCGAGCGTCCTTTGGGCCCTGCTGCCCCTGCAAGTTGACGACATTGCCTTTGAGTCGGTGGCAACCGACACCATCCAGGGACAATCCTCCATGGTGAGGGCTGAGGACGCAACTTTGTTGAAAGCGACATGGGCAGCCAATCGAGTCATGCTCTCGGCTCCAGGACCCTGGCCCTGAGCAAGGTCCCACCAATAGCTGTTTGCTTTGCTGGCCACCACTTCCCGAAGAGAACAAGGGATAAAGCAGGATCCTTGAGTCTTCTTCCGCTCCGCTGAGCCCGCTGGCTGTGTCTGGAATATCTGCCGAGGATTGGCGCTCCACGTGGTGGTGTACGGAAAGGAAGTCGACTGGCATCTCAGCGACGTCGCTGTCTCGCCAAGTACTTGCGAAAGCAGTGGAGGCTGTACGGGATTTGCAAGTACCACCTGCCTGAGCTGCCAAGCCCTGCCCGCTACTCTGACGTCAGTGGCCGGGCGGCGCACGATAAGGTACCCAGGCGTCACCATGCCTGTCATTCACGAGATCACTAGACTCAAGTAAGTAATTGCTGCGCGACAGCTGAGCGTAAGAGTAATAAACCCTGAAGCTCTACCGTTGGATCTCCAGTACGGGCGGCAGTTTTGGGTTGTCTGGCGGGTCATCGCCGCGTTCGGTCGACAGCTGCTAAATACGGCACGTGAAGCGGGGCGGGAGGCATCAACAATCTGATGGACGAGCTGACGGCCATGAGCAACCAAACGTCGAGCTCTACAACCTGTGCCATGTCGTCAGTAGCCGCGAGGATCTAGTCCTGCAAGTGTTCGCGCATGAGAACCAGCTATATACGTAGTACGTGGGAATTTATAATTAGTAAGTAAGGTAGCACAGCTAAGTCTTCATATTGCTTCGTCACGCAGCTTGTTGACACAACAGCAGTATCGCCCCGTAGTCCCGGCATCAAGCTGCTCAAAGCATCTCCCTTTGTCAAAGTGTATCATTTGCTGGTATTCCTGAATACTGACTCGAGAGCGCAAGACCCTTCCCCAAACCAAGAAAATAACATTATCCGCCCGAACGCCGTAGTCAATCCGCACATTGCGCTGGTAGGTAGTTCGCTTAAGCAGACCCAAAGGTGTTCTCGCCTGAATAAGTGATGTAGAGGAAGCTATCCGCATGTTAGTAGACGTTTCTTGAGCCTCTTGGGGGAACACATACCCATCGTCGTCCTTGTGCTCCTCGTAAATGCTGCTCATCAGAGCAGCTGTGGGAGGGAGGACCTCATCGACAAAGATGAAGATGGCCTTCTCGGGCGAGAGCTTGATGCGCTTGCGGATGACGTACACAAACTGGCCAACGGTGAGATCCGAAGGAACCAGGTACTTCTTCTTGTCGATGGTGGCAATGTCGCTCTTCTCGACCTTCTCGCAGATGACCTTGTGCACAGTTAGTATACCGTCGGCCAAAGTGGCGGGGTTCGTCGAGGCGGCCAAGTGCAGCGAAGCCGAAAAGGCGGTGATGCCGTGACGGGCACTCCGGACTGCGTGGCATCGGGAGAAGAAGGGATGATGAAATCCATCGATGGGATCAAGGAATCGGAAGGAAAAAGGCGATGGCGATAGTTTCGCAAATGGCACTTACGGGAATGCGGTCAGAGTACTTCTGGCGGATGCGCTCGGCCTCAGCCTTGCGCTTCTCGAAGGGGTGCTCGTCCTTGAACTTGCTGCGCATCTTGTCTGGCGTTGCGACGTTTGGTACAGGCTGCGATTCGGATGGTGTAACGTGTTGCTCGTTGACGAGACTCTCGGGCATGATAATGTGCAAAGGGAAGATGGGAGAGGTAGAAGGTTTGGGCTGACTGGGAGATTCCAGGCTGTCAAGTGCCAAGCGCTAGCGGTGCAGTGGGGGGCGTGAATGCCTACAGGCCGCGAGTGACACCGTGATTCTGGGGACAGGACGGGACTGGAGCTGTGCTATGCTCGTGACCTCCAGTCGCAGTGACTGACCAGAAGGACGTGATTAGAATTCACGAGAAGATGACGGTCTATATCTGACAGCTGTGGCAAAGCAAACTGCCCCCAACAAGTCATTACAAATAGACAAGATACTTGTCCTCCCTGGGGGAACAGTCACAGCCCGAAGCGCCGAAGCGCCTGGCTGCACTGCTGCTTTCGCCAGTTGCGGGTGAGTGACGACTGGACGCGGGGCTGCCAAGCTAAGCCGCTTTCGGTCAAAAGAGACTATACGCACTGTGCACACAACGCAAGACAATCGTTGTCACCGCATCCAGAGTTCCATTCGCACTGTCTGCCTCATCAGCAGGCTGCCTTCTTGTTCGTGATCACAAGGTCCAGTCGTCAGGTGTGCCGGGGACGAGTCACAGAGCCTCTTCCCACAGATTGTATTCAACAAGATGTGGCGTTGCTAAGTGGAAAGATAGCCACATAATCTTTTTGTCAATGGACCGCGTCGATCCGTCATCTCTGAGCCTGGGCAGGCGTCTCATGGCCAGCGGCTACCGAGCCATACAGCAAGTATATCATAAAGGTCTGGAATGAATCGCCCAAGCAGACACCGTGCAAGTGTAGAATCCTCGGATGACGGTCCGATTCGATGTGGATTATGTTCTCGCACTCAAAGAAGCTGTCTTGATAAGTCGATCACGCCCTAGACATCGCATGATGCGTGGTGCGATATGGAAGCGCGTGGCCGACGTCGGCTGTCAGGTAAGGGACTGGAGGCCGGACGGCAGTTCGCGCCTCGGCGGCCTATGGAAACGTCCCCGATTCCAACCGTCAAATCGTAAGTTTTGTTTTTTTAGACCCTCGATTCCCATTCCCAAAATTTGACCATATGACGACAAGAGGCGTCCTTACCAGTTGCTCTATATAGCATCTTACATTCCCAGTCCTCATTGGCCGATACGTCCACCATTCCTACCGCGAAAACCGTCACCATGGCTGCGAGACGACAGGCACAACGTCTCGCGGCGCAACTTCGTCAGCTGCCGACGCACTCTGTCACACGCCAATGGGGCTCGCCAAGGTCGCTATCGACAAAGGCCAGCCCGCGTCAGTCTTCTCGCAGTTCCTGGCATCTCTCCTTGATCGGCGCAGCGGCTGTTCTGGGTGTTGCCGCTCCGCTGGCCTACCACAACGTATGCGCACGCTGGATGCCCACTCTTGAAGGAACCGAACTGACCTTGGTGTTGCTGTAGATCAAATCAAACCCCGTCGGCCTCGACGCCTCGACCCTTGCCGAGAAAGATGCCCAGAAGAAGCGCGAAGCTGCGATCAGCGACGACTCGCCCATGCGCCTACGGATGGAACGCTTCATCAAGGAGCAGCAACAGGTCATTGTGCAAGCGCTCGAGAAGATAGACGGCAAAAAGTTTCGCAAGGATGAGTGGGACCGCAAGAATGGCGGCGGTGGCATCACCTGCGTTCTCCAGGACGGCAACGTCTTTGAGAAGGCTGGCGTGGGCGTCAGCGTCGTGTACGGCTCGCTCCCCAAGCCTGCGATTGAGAAGATGCGTGCGAACCACAAGAGCCTGGATCCCACCGTCAACTCACTGGACTTTTTCGCTGCCGGCTTGAGCCTCGTGCTGCACCCGCACAACCCAATGGCGCCGACGGTGCACCTCAACTACCGGTACTTTGAGACGGCCAACCCAGACGGTACCTCGCAGGCCTGGTGGTTCGGCGGTGGCAGCGATCTGACGCCCTCGTACCTGTTCGATGAGGACGCGATCCATTTCCACAAGACACTCAAGGAAGCGTGCGACAAGCACAACAAGGAATTCTACCCCGAGTTCAAACAGTGGTGCGACGAGTACTTCTACAACAAGCACCGTGAGGAATGCCGCGGTATCGGTGGCATCTTCTTTGACGACCTCGATGAGGCGTCGCACGACCAGGAGAACACGTTTGCCTTTATTCAAGACTGTCTCAAGTCATTCCTGCCATCCTACCTCCCCATCCTCGAGAAGCGCAAGGACATGCCCTTTACCGAGAAGGAGAAGGACTGGCAGCAGATTCGCCGTGGCAAATACGTCGAGTTCAACCTCGTCCACGACCGCGGGACGGCGTTTGGGCTGAACACGCCTGGCTCGAGGGTGGAAAGTATTCTCATGTCGTTGCCGCTGACGGCCACGTGGAAGTACATGCACGAGCCAGAACCCAAGAGTCGGGAGCAGAGGTTGGTGGATGTGCTCAAGGAGCCCAAGGAGTGGGTGTAGGTAGATGAGTTGGTGTGCGCGCGCCAATGTTAGATTATTAGATTAGACCCATTTGTAAATCTGCCTGTGAGCCATAGTGCAATCAAATAATGTACATCATCAACTTCACCTCTGCGCCGCACAATGTCAACGTTGCCCTCTCATCGCCAGTTCCTCACAACCCTGCTGAACTCCATTACGACCACATCATCATTGGCTGCCTCCAGCCTCGAATCTGGCGGCGAGGCCAAGCGTCTGCCCGTCAATCGGCAAGAGCTGCTCCTCACGCTACACGTCCTGTTCCCGAGTCTTCTACTACCAGCCCTCGACCTTCTTGACCGCCGACTGGTGTCTGTGATCAGCACACCACTGGGGAACGGGGTGGAAAAGAAGGCATTCATCGTCAAGTCTCTCGCTACAACGCTTGCCACCCGGCGCACCCGTGACGCCCACTCTTCCACTGCAAAAAGCTACTTGGTCGAGACGCACATTTGGAACTGCTCTTGTGCGAGCTTTGCCTTTGACGCATTCCCGGTCAGCATAGACGACAGCGGCGGTGTAGAGCAGGCAGAGCTAGACTGGTCATTTGGTGGCGTCAGCTTTGACGGCCTTGCCGGGAGAGGGGAGGATGTGCCCTGCTGCAAGCACTTGCTCGCCTGTCTTCTCGCAGAGAGGTGGGAGACTATTCTCGGGGCCTACATCGAACACAAGGAAATGTCAAAGGAACAGTTTGCGGGTATCATAGCAGGCGTATAATAATCTAGGCTGATATGCTCCCACTGTACAGTCAGGCAGGCACTGTGCCCTTCTTCTAAGTTTGTCATCATTTCTTCTTGTCCTTGCTCTCCTTGTCCTTTTCCTTGTCCTTGGGGGTCGCCTCCTTGCTGTCCCCGTTCGCTTCCGCTGCCTCCTTCTTCTCGTCCTTGTTCGCCGCCTCGTCCTTCTTGGCCTCCTTCTCCTCCGCCGATTGCCTGTTCTGAATCTTGTTCTCAATCAAGTCGTGGAATGCGGCGATGGCGCGGATCAAGCTGCTGAGGTAGATGGCCATGAGCTGATCGTTGGTCTTGACGCTGAGAGCATTCGACAGCTCGCCAGACCCTGCCTTGCCTGTTGCTTCCGGCGTGAAGAGGTTGGGAAGCAGGTTGAAGACATCTTGTAGGTTCCCGAGGATGGCGTGGTTCACGGGCAGGTCGCCATCGAGGACCTTTTGAAGGTAGGCGCCAATGTCGCGAAGGCGCAAGTGTAGACCCTGCAGCGATTGCAGTTGGTTGGTGACTCGAGTCGACAGTGTGCCGACGGCTACGTCTCGGATGTCTCGTAATAGATGCTCGACGCCAATTTCCTCTGCTTCCTCGGCCTCGATAATCGAAGGGGTGTGGACAAACGTCCTCGCGGTGGTCGTGCCATCCTGTCGCTGTCAGTGGCTGTCACGTATCGCACAGCTCTTCAAGAACTTACATCCTTGATCTCATCGACCGCAAAGTATGCGTCCGTGGGCACACCTGACTCCTTCGGCTGGACGTCAATAATGACCAGGAGTGGATTGGGCGTGTATCGTTTGAACATCTCGTTGATTTGGAGATCGGAGGCGCGCAGCTTGGGGCCGGAATGATACCAGCCTATTAACTTCTCGCGAGCGTTGATCTTCTTGAACATGTCGTTCATGTTCTCGACGTAGTTGTGGTCCAAGAACCACACTGAAGGGTCCTTCTCATCCTCCTCGAACGGCACTGTTGTCGAGGTCAGCGTGGATCGGATAGTAGCGGGATGATGGGCACCCACCAGCAAAGCTGTTTGACACCCTAACGTTCTTCCCATCGTTTTGGCCCAGTAGAACACCGACGACTCTTCGTGACTTGATCTGGTTCTGCGTGGTTCTGTTGTAGTGGTCGACGGCGCTCAGCAGCACGAGAGGTGCGACAGAGACGTTTCGAGTGACGAGGGAAAGGGTTTCTGCTGTGGTGGTAGGCATCTCAAAGACGTGATGGGGTCTGTGCCCCTTGCGCTCGGTGAAATGTGTAGAAGCTATGTGATGGTGTTGCTGGCGGTTGTCTCAAGAAAGTCGTTTGCTGATCTGATCGCCCGCCCTACGTACACTGGAGGCTGCCTTCGGTGATGCAGTTGACGCTAGAGCTCCAGCAACCAGAGCTTGAGCCCCACGTACAGTCACGTGATGCGCCACAGTGTGGCTTGATCACAGCTCGCTTGACATCATCAGATTGCAAGTCGCAGTGCACCTCTCATTTATGAGAATAGACATATCGAAGTGGTAGGACATGTTTTCGGCTTGATAGCCTTCTCCAGGCCCCATTAGAGTTAATCTGTAAGCAAATGACGTGGCCACTGCTTCAATTGGACACATCACACGCAGAGACGCTCACGGACGTTGTTCCCTGGCAAATGCAGGTTCCAACCTCGGCGCGTGGCAGCGGAAACGTGGACCGGCGGACGGACGGACGGATATGCAGATGCTTCAGTTCAGGCTGCTCCTAATTAGCTCGGCGGCAACAAGACAAGTGTCGGCAAAAGCTATGGATACTACATGTCAGAATTGAATGACCAAGACCTCACAAGTGAATCTCAGTTGATTAAACCATCCCTTGCTCATAACATTCCGCCCGTCCAGCAAGCAACGCGAGTACATCCGCGCCCAATCACAAGCCGCCACCATTTCCACGGCCGGGCAAGCTCCACGCCTGGTTTCCGTCAACTCCATCCTCCGATCTCGAAACCTGCCTCTCGGCTTTTCTGCTTTTCCTTTCTCTCTACGCCCACCGCCCCCCATACTCTCCCCACGCGTCGAATCCTTTCTCAGGTCTTCCTTGCTGTGTCAATTGACCTCGTTCCACCGGCATCATGGGCATCGTCGAGGATGAGCTTAAGCATCTGAAGGATGTGGTCACCGGCCTCGAGTCGCGCATCAAGCGTCTCGAACAGCGCGGTACCGGCGCTTCGCCCTCGACCGAGGAGATTCGCATGATCTTGATCGGCCCTCCTGGCGCTGGTACGCAGTCTTGCGATTGACTCTTTGCCGATGCATGCTGACAAGTCTCGCAGGCAAGGGAACCCAAGCCCCCAAGCTCAAGGAGCGATTTTCCTGCTGCCACCTTGTACGTACCACTGTCGCTCAGTCGCAATGGCAGTGTTCTGACATCTTTCCAGGCCACCGGCGACATGCTGCGTTCCCAGGTTGCGAAGAAGACGCCCCTCGGGCGCGAGGCGAAGAAGATCATGGACCAGGGCGGTCTGGTCAGCGACGACATCATGATCGGCATGATCAAGGAGGAGCTCAACAACAACAAGGAGTGCCTCGGCGGGTACGTATCTTCTCACGCGCCACGACAATCGCGACGGTACTGACAGTTTCTAGCTTCATCCTCGATGGTTTCCCCCGAACCGTGCCTCAGGCCGAGGGTCTCGACGCCATGCTCCGCCAGCGCAACAAGAACCTGCACCACGCTGTTGAGCTGCAGATCGACGACTCCCTCCTCGTCGAGCGTATCACTGGCCGCCTCGTCCACCCGGCCTCTGGCCGCTCGTACCACCGCACCTTCAATCCTCCCAAGGAGGCCATGAAGGACGACGTCACCGGCGAGCCCCTTATCCAGCGCTCCGACGACAACGCCGAGGCTCTGCAGAAGCGCCTGGCTGTCTATCACCAGCAGACCGCGCCGGTTGTGCATTACTACCAGAAGACCGGCATCTGGAAGGGCTTGGATGCCAGCCAAGAGCCCGGACAGGTGTGGAAGAACATGCTGCAGATTGTGGAGGCTGGGCAGAGCAAGGGTCACGGTTCGACGATCCTGAGCCGCATCACTGGCTCGAACTAAGCAAGAAGGGCAGAAAGCCGACAGCTACGGTCATCACGTCGCTGTGACGAGATGTACTGACGCATGCATGTACCACATTGTCAAACTTAGCCGAGACCATGAAACTAGCATCCTCTTATTCTATCCTCTTCCTGTCTATTGTTGGTATTATATGGCGCATCGTGGACAAATGAAACTTGGAACGACCGGCCCGCCCTCTTGACTCCGTTGTGATGCTAGGCTAAATCAACGCTGCCTCTCTCCAATGCGTCTGCCCCGGGTATTCCGCCTCTTGGCTATGCATATGATTCAATATATACGTGTGTAACAATAGGAAGGGTTCGCCCCGTTGGCCGAACAAAGCGGGCAGGCAAAGAGGCAGTATGGCCCACGCCGCCGTCGACAAGGGGACACGAAGACCCAGAGCCTCACTCATGATGAGATCATGTCGTGAGCTCCTATCTCCTCGGGGTAGCTGACAAAGTCAGTTCAGTAGAGATAGAGCGAGTCGCGGCGGCGCAACTGACCGTTAACCATCTGCCGCTGCTTGTTCAGCCAACTTTTGGGCGCATCGTGGCGTCTCTGAAGTACGACGAGATTGCTCTGGATGCGGCCGGTGAGGTCAAACCACGCCGTCGCCATCAACGCATTCTCTCTCTGGAGGTTCTTGATCGTCTTCTCAAGAGCAGCCTGGAGATGTAAAAGATTAACATTCATTCAAATCACCGAACGGGAAAGGGGAATATGGTAAAATATGCTGAATGAAATGCGGAATCAAGAAAACATACCTTTTGCTCCGCCGCTAGATCCCCTCCCAGTGCAGCTTTGAGCTTACGTTGGAGGTCGACACGCTCCAGCTCCGACTTTTCAAGTTGCTGCACACTCTGTTAATGACACCATTCCAAGACTACCTTCTCTCTCTCTAAGTCTGGCTCTTCTTCCTGCTGAAGCTAAAGGGGCGGTTGAACGCTCGCTTGAACAGCCCATCCTTCTTCTTCTTCTTGGATGGGGACTCAGGTCTAGCCACAGCAACTTTGCCGGCACCACCATTGACACATAAAATAGGGAACTGGGTGTGGCCGGGCACCACTTGGTGCTCAAGGCTCATTCGGGGCGCACGTGGCCAGGGGAGGCTCATCGGGCGTGGGCGCGGCGGCGAGCAGTCGCTGCCAAACGCTGGCATGGGTGGACCGCGAGTACGGTCAAGGCCATGCGCATTTCCAAAGCCACCCATGCTGCGACGCTTGTCGGGCGATAGCCCTGGGCGCTCGTGGTGAACCATGACATAGGTTGGCCACGCCTCGGGAGGCATTTCATCGTTGAGAGATGTCAGGGAACGTTCGCCACTCACCTCATTCCGTTCAACCAAGCGAGCCCGGAGCTTCTCGATCTTCTCCGTCTCCTTCTTGGCGGCTGCAGCCAGGTCGGGGTCAGTGGCCATAATCTCGTCCAGAGTCTTGCCTTCAGCAGCCTTGGAGAGTCGGTCCTTGGCCAGGAGCGCTTCAATGAGCTGGCTCTTCTGCGCGTCGTTGTCAGCAGTCACGATACCAAGTTTCTCGCGCAACCGGTCAAGTTCCGATTTCAGAGATGCTGATACGATCTCGTCGGCGTGCTTAATGTCCTCCAGGGCTTGGGCCGCATCCTTGTCCACGGCTTCCAAATCGGTTCGGAGCGTGACGAGCTCGCGGGCCTGGTCAGCGGCCTGCTGCTCGAGTGCTTCAATGCGCTTTTGTGCCTTCTCGAGCTTGTCCGCTTTCTCCAGGTCGGCTTGACGAAGCTCAGCAAAAGCCTTGTCCCTGTAATATGTACAATTTAGCACATGCATTGGGCCATCAGCCAGCATCTCGTTGATGGTTTTGACTAACCCTTCGCCTGTCAGGTTGTTCAACACGGCCTCGACCTGTGCATTGAGGATCGCAATCTTCTCAAAGTCGTCATTCGTCTTGGCTTGTAGTCGGTCCCTGTGTGCAGTCATAACGTCCAAGTCGCGCTGCAAGATGGTGGTATCCCCCTTTGAGGCGACGGTCCTCTTCAAAACCTCATTCTCTGCCTTGAGGCGTGCATTCGCCAGAGAGAAGTCGGCTGCAGGAGCACCGTCGTTGGCATCGTTCAGCTCATCCTCGAGACTCATGCCAGCATCGCCACCCTGGTGCATCGAGGAGCCTTCTCCACCTTGGAGCCGGTCATTCAACTCCTTGATGATGACCTCATCTTGGTCGCGGAGGGCTTGTAGTTGTGCATTCTCCGTGAGGGCGTGTTCCAGGTCTTGCCGCAGCAAGTTCTTGGCGTTGCGCTCGTCCCACACAGCTTGTTCAGACTGGGAGATTAGTGTGCTCAACTCGGCGTCGGCCTTGTGTACGCGTTGGCTGCGAAGTATCTCGCCGGTCAGACGTTGAATTTCGTCCTGCAGTTCTGCGCGCTCATATTTGAGGTTGGAGAGTTCCTTGGCATCGCCTTGGTGCTGTTCAAGCTTCTGCTTGTATCGGTCAGCCGTGTTGGCCTTTTTCTCGAATTCCTCAGCCTTGTGCTTCCACTCGGCCACCTGATCCTGGAGAGATTCGGCCAATGCAGCTCTATTGGTGAGACGTTGAACTTCAGATTCAAGATGAGCCTTGACTTTGGCATCCTCTCGCATAGTCTCTTCGTAATCAGCAATGATCTCCATTTGCTCGTGAACCCGAGCCTCGAGAGCCTTGACTGTGTCTGCATTGCTAGCTCCATCTCGGGTGGCCTTGCGGAGAAGATCGAGTTCGCGGTCGTTCTTGTCCTTCTCGTACTGAAGTTCGCTGTGGCTTTGGTGGAGCTTTTCGAGTCGCGTAATGTAGTCGGACAGCTGCTTTTTGGTAGTGTCTAGTTGCTGTCGAAGAGCGGCGTTCTGCTCTTCCACCAAGAGGTCAATGTCGCGCGCCTCCAACACATCGTCCACAGCTTCGTCCGTATCATCCGCTGCTCCCTTGGCATCTGCCATCTCCATCTGCACGACTTGCAGTATATGCATAAGCTCCCCTTGCGCCTTCTGGTCGAGATGCTGTATTCTTGGAACATATTGCTGTCGGTTAGGGCCAAAAGCTGCAGTGCAAACGATGACGGCGAGCAACTGTTCCACGTGAAATGTTAGCTCTGCTTCGCGCTGCTTCCTTCGCTCTTCCACGGTCTGGAAGGCTAGGCTGTTGGGGCGACTTACCTGGCTGATGCCTTGCGCGTCAGGGCTTTCGGCGATGGCATGATAATCGAATTTGGAGGCTTGGAAGCTCAGCTCCGGGACCTTGCGACGGATGAAACGGAAGAGTCCCTTGTAGACCGACTGTATATTGCGCTTGTTTGTCAAGAGAGGAACTGTTTGGTCCTTCTCTAGATGCGACGGGTCGAATTCGGGATCAAGCTCGTGGAGGACCTTGCCTAGGACAAGGCCGTTGTGAAGGTCGTCCAGGCTGTCGATAGGGGGGTCGAGGGTAAACATGCGGTTGACCGTCTTCAGGAGCGCGACCCGCGCGCCTTCGCTAAATGACGGCCTCGCCTTTGCTGTGGACTTGTCCATTTCGCCGAGTGCTGCCGTCAATAACTAATATAGATCAACTGAGTAGGGTCGAGAGTCGCGTCGCGTGGTCCACGGGATAAGTAGGTATGATGAAGTAGAACCATGTCGAGCAGCGAGAGATGAGGATGCTTTTATGTCGAGCTGTAAACTTATTCGGAGAAGCGTTCTCTCATCCCGAAGAACAGCATATGTTCGTTCTTGATCGTGGTAAAGGTTCGTAGCTGTGTTATGGGGAAACCCAGGTGCTGTTCAGCTGGTGTTCCCCTCCTGTCCACCGAGTCCGCATCGCGTGCTGCGACCCGCCAAGTGTGCATGATCCACCCGGGACCAGCCCGCCATGGGGTACTCGTTGTTCTGCTTCACGGACAAGGCTGAGAATTGCTTCCGAAAGCCAAGAACAGGTTATTACTGTGATTCTCCCACAGGAGAGTGGTGTACGTCGTGTGCCCTTTGTGATACATGCTACGTTCCACTCTGTCCAAATTACTGTCAGCCGTACTGACTGACATCTGTCAATAAGGAACATGCGCTGCCGACGAGACGAACAACATTGTCACTTGCATATGACCATTCGGAAGTCGGAACAGCAATTATCAAAATAAATCCAGAGACCTCGCTCTAACTCCTCTAGCGAGCGTGATTGCCAGCAATTTGCAAGGTCATTACCCAGTTGCCTCTTCCGTAGCATGTGATCATCATAACGCCATATCTTAGCTAACAAAACGCCTTCATGAAACGAGCAAGTCTTTAGTGAAGTTTAGCTGTTGATAGAAACCTCTTGGTCTGCTTCAACACGCATCTTGTGCTCGTTGCCCCAGGCCTGCACAGATTGCAGCGCTTCCTCTGGCGCGTCGGCAGCAAAGCCCCTACCGCTTGTAAGCCCAAGTAAGATAGCACAATGAGATGAACGTACTTGATGATGGCGTATACGTGGGTGATTTTGCCACCAGCACTGACAATGTCCTTCTTCGCCTGGTCGACGATAGAATCGGGGGTGTTGTTGTCGTCGAAGTAAATGATGACCGACTTGCCGAGCACACCAGGAATGACGGCGAGCGCCACAGCGAGAAGTCCAGAGACACGCATGTTGAAAGTAGGGGTCACTCGGGTAGCTTGAGATGAAAATTAGAGGTATGTGTGAGATTGGTGACGTTGGCGCTGAAGATGGGGACAGATCGATATTTATGCAGGAAATGTTTGATGGCAGGGGGAAGTCGCATGAGATTCAATCAATGACAGGAGACTCAGAGCTGGTGTTAGAGGTTGATGCCGACGGGACGGGAGCAGATGACCTCAGGCTCCCCAGCAGCGACGCCAGTGGCGGGGCAGCGCCATCCAAGTGCCATCTTGCCATCTTGGGCAGGAGACAAAAATGGTAGCACTCCGGGTCGAGCGACGATCGCCCAGCCAGTGAAAGCCCATCGTCAGACCCTGAATTCCTCATACATTCATACATTCCTCTTCTGGACTGTGCGATGTGGTGCTTTTGCCTGCTTGCGCATGGTCATTGTCGTTTCACGGCGGCTGCCTCCAAGGCACCCGTGGTGCTCCTAATTGACGTGGCAGTCTGTAGAGGGTCTCTAAACTTAAAACCCGTGTGCCGGATGAGAGCTTTCAACACGTCATGTGGAAGGGCCAATGCAAAAGGTGCGAGCTACAGAATACGGGGTGGCATCTCATCGACTTACGGACATTTATACAACATGATTAGAGGCACCCCCACACGACAGCGCCCAAACGCCTTGTTGCTGAAGAGATGCAAATTACAATGCTCGCTAAAAAGAAGAATGATCGTGACAAGCTGAGCGCTCCCTCCCCTTACGACTTGACGCTTCCGGTCATTGCCTCGCTCTCCGCCCACACGTCCTTGCTCTCTCGTTCGATGCTGCGCATTGCTTTGGCCACGTCGTCGAGCTTAGCCACAACGTCGACAACTCCATTGTTGACCCTCTGAAAGTACTCATCGTTGGCTTCGCGCCGCTTCCGCGCAAGCAGTATGTCTGCTTCAGTCTCTTCTTCCAGTCTCGCGCCCAAGCGATCTGCCCCTGCTGAGCTCGCATCGGACTTGCCCCCAGTGGTAGATGGCGCTGTGCTTTTTACTGCCTCAGTGCCCTCTCCACCAGCCGACTTGGACGCATCGCCGACTGTCCCTTTCATGTTGCGGACTTCGTCTCCAGCTGCTGAGCCAGCCCTGTCTCGATACATTGTCTCGATCGCATCGTCAGCTTCGCTTCGGGCCCACGCCTGTGCAAGAGCAATCTGCGCCGCACGTAGATCTCCTAGTTTGCGGTCATGCTCTGGCCCAAACACGTGGGTACCTCCTGATGCTGACAGTTCTACCTCTTCCAAGGTAGCTTGCATTTCAGCCCACAAGGCATCCGTCCTATCAGTGCTCCTTGTACTTTCGCCGCTTCTAAAAACCCTCCGCGGTCTATTGGCAGTCGATGGTGACAGACTCCCCGAGTATACATCAAGGTTTGATCGTTCCCGCGTCAAGGGATTCGGTCCTGGAGCGGAGGCGCCCGGCGCCAGGATACCAGGTAGCGACACATGAGAGGCGGATGGCGAGGGGTGCAGGAACAAAGAAGGCGGCGGATCGCGCTGCGATTTGCTCGGCGATCGTGTGTGCTGAGCCATCAAAGCCGGCACTAGAGTGGTGGGCTTTGTTTGAGCAAAAGGTGCGCCAGAAGGTCAGCTCCGTTCAGTGATCGCGTAGTACCGCGAACACTTGTGATTTGGTCGGCAGCGATCGCACGTCACTTTGCTAATGTCCCGATCGAGTGTCTTGGCGTATCCACATGAAGAATGGCCGGGGGACGGACCTACCTTGACCCGCTCCTCGACTCCACCGTCAATGATCAGTCCGTCCAGTCACGTGGCCCTGCACATCCAAAGGCCACAACCAGCGTTTTCCCCTCTAGGGTGCAAAAACCCTACCAAGAAATTCCGGGAAGCATCAGCCCAACTTTTCGCCGTCACCCGCCAACGACTTACCACCCAACCATCGCCGCGATACCCGACTAAACCGGTGAGTCTACCCTCCGTACCGTCGACACTCGCCCTCGAACCCATTGAGCTCAACCGTCTCTCAACCGAATTCACGAAGCTAACCCGTGGCGAAGCAAAAATGGCTGGAGGCAAACCCCGTGGTCTTAACGCCGCGCGCAAGCTGCGAACAAACCGAAAGGACCAGAAGTGGGCTGATCTTCACTGGAAGCGTCGTGCCCTCGGTACCGCCTACAAGTCCTCGCCCTTCGGTGGCTCTTCCCACGCCAAGGGCATCGTCCTCGAGAAGGTCGGTGTTGAGGCCAAGCAGCCTAACTCTGCCATTCGCAAGTGTGTGCGTGTGCAGCTCATCAAGAACGGCAAGAAGGTCACCGCTTTCGGTATGTGGAAGACAGTACGAGCGTGGAGGCCATGTCGATACTAACGTTGTGGACAGTCCCCAATGACGGTTGCTTGAACTTCGTGGACGAGAACGACGAGGTCCTCCTGGCTGGTTTCGGTCGCAAGGGCAAGGCCAAGGGTGATATCCCCGGTGTGCGCTTCAAGGTCGTCAAGGTTTCTGGTGTCGGTCTGCTTGCGCTGTGGAAGGAGAAGAAGGAGAAGCCCCGCACTTAAGAATCTGTTTCTTGTTATTGGGCAATACGAGGCGACGTCAAATTTGGGCATGAGGAGTCACAACGGCTTTGCTTGCATCGGCATCACAGGTTAGGGTTTTCGACCTGGGGAGATGGATCTCAAAGAATAGATCAACAAGTCTCTCAAAAAGTAACATTATGTGTCATTGGTTGAATATCGTTGCTACAGATGATGTACAAAGGCTTTTTACACGCTGCATCAGGCAGCATTAGCCCCCTCGATCTCTTGGTCCCGTGTCGAATAACGATGCACGTAATCGGCACCCATGCCGAGGCCGATGGTGCCACCAGTAATCCAGCATCCGTTGACAAACCACCACCAGCAATCCTTGACGCTCTTCAGGTTGACCCTTTTGATCATGATGCCGAGCGTGGCAATAGCGCCACCACAGCTCCCGACGTAGAAAAGGGGCCCTGCCCCTGAGGCGAACCCAGCTGCCGCCAGGAGTCCGACTTGGACGGTAGCAAGCCCAGTGAGAACCTTCTTGGTATCCGCGTCGTGCTTCAGAGCAATGCTCTTGATGCCCACCTTGGCGTCATCCTTGATGTCCATATGGGCATAGATCATGTCATATAATACCGTCCATGACACGCACGAGGCATACAGGCATGCTGCTGAGGTGAGCGCCGGCATGTTGGACAGCAGATCAATACCAAGGGCTGGGTAGCCCATGATAGCGCCCCATGAGAACGTCAGTCCAAGCACAAACTGAGGGTAGTATGTGACGCGCTTCGCCAGAGGGTAGCTAGCCACGAACAGCAAGCTGGGGATTCCATAGAAAAGGCATTGGAACGGGAATGAGACCAAGACACCCAACCCAGCCAGTAGTTGGAACCCAGTAAACACCAAGCCCTTGAATGGAGTGATGGCGCCGCGCGCAATTGGACGATGCCTTGTCCGTGTAACATGGGGATCTAGGTTTCGGTCCCAAAGGTCGTTGATCGAGCAGCCAGCACCTCGCATGATGAGTGCTCCAGTGAAGAACAAAGCCGAGTAGCCCAAAGTCGTGGTCGGCGTCGCCATGGGTACTGCCATTGGCGCTGCCAAGAATGTTGAGAAGAGGCATGGAAAGAAGAGGTAGTAAGTACCCGTTGGCTTGTCTATCCGAACCAACTCAGCGTACGGCACCCACGACTTTGGGATGATTGACAATATCCCCGTCGTCTGAGGGCTGTATGGTGGGATCTCAGCCGTGGGCTGAGTTGTCTCTTGTTGTATTGCAGGCGATAAGTGACTTTTGGCCTCATGGAAGGCTGTGAGCTGCTCGCAGCTTTGCCGCACTTTGATTATTGGCCGTACGGATAGCCTGGAGCGTAGTACATGGCCAAGTCCAGCTCGAGACGCATAGCCACGATGGCAAGTTGCCAACGAAGTGGCGGCCGGTAGCCTACCCAGCCTCATCTATCAACACCTGCGCAAAGTCAGTTAAGGGATGGTGACAAGCCGGGGACCTTGCTCACGATCACAACGCTTTTGGGGTGAGGGCCGTTCTACTTCAAAGAGACTCTCTTAAGTCTCATATTGTTCCGGCGAATCAGTAGAGCCAATCCTAAAGTGCCTTAACATACATTAATTAGGTTGCGACGACATTAATTAATACACGTTTGGCGTCGTTGGTGTTGGATGAAGCTTTCAAATGAGATTAGTCAGCAATTTTGTCAAACGCCGCACCGCGCCTGCCGTATCCGCAACCTCCAATCGCCTGCGCATTTCAGCCTCCAGCCCATGTCGCGTCTTGGTCGCAACTTTCCCAACCCCTCCAGCAACAAGTACGTCGCGTTGACAGGGCACACAGCCTTTTCTTCCCATCGCGCGATGAATGGGATAGATCGATGAGGGCGGGTCGCTGAATCACTCCATATTTCTGATCACTGATCCGCGAGTCCCGTTTCCACGACGCACCTGCGGCCAGCAGCGCCTTTGAGCGCGCCTTTGAGCGCGCCTTTGAGCGCGCCTTTGTGCGCCCTGGTCGTTCACGATGCCTACATCTCTGCATCCCCAGGCCAAATTCGACCCTATACCTCCCGACCTCGATCTGTACGGCCTAGTCGACCGAACGCCCAATTTCAAATGGGTCCAGCGAGTGTCAAGGACCCAGATTCGCCATCTGGGTCAACAAGAGTTTGAGAAGGTGGTCAAGATGCATGTCATAGAGGGAGGGAAGCCTCTCGTGGTCGAGGGCTGGGACACGGCATTCCCTAAGGGTCTGTTCAGTGCGCGCTGGCTCCAAGACAATTACGACAAGAAGCAAGAGAATGTTCGCGACATTGGTACCAGCACGGACATGCCTATGACTACTGGGCACTATCTCCGTTCGATGAAACTCCTCACGAACCAGTGGACGCCAGACAACTTCCGCGACGAGCGCCGTCAACGCCTATACCTCAAGGATATCGACTGCCCTCGGGAATGGCGCGACGCGCTGGAAAAGGTCATCCATCCCAGCCTGTTCTACCTGAACGAGAATGTCAGTGGCCACGGCAATCAACGAAACACAAATGACGACGATGACGACGACGATATGAAACCCGATCAGCCCGTAGCACCAGCTGGAGATCTCATGTCTAGCTTACCGGAAGAGATGCGAGCTCAGAACCTGATGTGCTACATTGGCCACGAAGGGACCTACACCCCTGCTCACAGGGAGATGTGTGCATCGCTGGGTCAAAACATTATGGTTGAGGCTTCTGGCGATACAGATGGCGAGAAGCCCGGAAGCTCGTTATGGTTCATGACTGAAAGCAAAGATCGGGAGGTCGTCCGAGAGTACTTTCTCTCCATGCTAGGGCACGATATCGAAATTGAAAAACACTTTGCCCAAATCAATGCTTGGAAGAAGGCGCCATTCGATGTTTACATTGTCGACCAGAAACCCGGCGACTTCATCCTCATTCCGCCCCTGGCCGCACATCAGGTCTGGAACCGCGGTACGCGCACCATGAAAGTGGCCTGGAATCGCACGACGGTCGAGACTCTAGACTTGGCGCTGCACGAGGCTCTCCCTAAGGCTCGGCTGGTCTGCCGCGACGAGCAGTACAAGAACAAGGCTATTGTCTACTTCACCTTGTCTAAATACTACCAGCAGCTCCAAAGCCTAGAAGAACAAGCAGAGTTGGCACAGATGAACTTCCTGGGCATCGGCCAGGACATTGTCAGAAACTCACCCCGGGCACGACAACTGGCGGAGGACTTCAAGGAGTTGTTGGGGCTATTCAAGGAGATCCTGGTGAATGAAATGTTTGCCACCCCCGAAAAGGATGTCGAGTACCTCGAGTTCGACTCTTGCGTCACCTGCTCTTACTGTCGGTCAAACATCTTCAACCGGTTCCTCACCTGCAAACACTGCGTTCGCACGCTGATCACAGGTGACGAGGACGCTTACGATGTGTGCATGGAGTGCTATGCCATGGGTAGGTCGTGCCTTTGCATGTCAAAGCTACAATGGTGCGAGCAATGGCAGTGGTCCGATCTCGTCGACAACTATGAGACGTGGCGCGCCATGGTCATTCGCAACGACGGGTACATTGACTTTGAAACCTCCCCGCAGCCACTCGAGGTAGCGAAGCAGCTTGCGGGCAAAAAGTCGGCGGCCCAAGTCTGCCAGGAAGCCCTCAGGCGTCGTCCGTGGAAGGACATTACGAAACCGGAGCGTGAAAAGACGCCGAGTGATTCTGAACAAGACGCGGGAGAAGAGAATGCAGCCAAGAAAAAGAACAAGCGCAAGAAGAAAAAGGGCGACATTCGCAAATGCCACGTCTGCTGCCACAAGGATTACAGTTACCGCGTTCAGGAATGCACCAACCCTGATTGCAAGGAAGCATACTGCTTCGGCGTACTATACCGAGGATTCGACATGCTGCCGCAGGAGGTGATGGAGAACGAACAGTGGCAGTGCCCAAAGTGCCTGGGCATATGCAGCTGTGCGCAGTGCCGTCGTCGAGGGATTGGGAATCCGTACACGCCGAAGAACACTTCCTTGGGGCATGATACACGCGCGATTGCCGACGATAGAAGTATCGAGGCTCTGGTTGACTTCCGTGTGCACAATCTAGGCTGGCTCAAGGCCGCAGGGGAGGACAGCCGGAGCAAAGACAGCAAACGAATGCAGAGGCTCCGTGAACAAGCCGACACGGCCAAGGCGCAAGACGCAACGGAAGATGGCGGTGACGAGGCTCAAGACGTCACGAATGGCCATGCCTACGGTGCAGTTGTGGACGGCTATGGCGACCAACGACACGTCTTCGAAGGGCAGGATGGGCCCGGCCTCACGAGTACTGAAAACGCTCCCGAGGGTCCTGAGGAGCTGGAAGCTCCCCTGCCCTTCACGGAAACAACTGGTGACGATGCTATCTTCCAGAATGGGGAGGAAAGGGATATGTCTGCGTATCCTGATCCTGTACTAATGCATCAGCGCATCGGATTGGGATATTTCGATAAGGACGAGACGTCGGAGAAGATCTTGTTTGATCACTACGAAGTACCGACGGCCGAGGATCTCAAGTTTGATCAGCCAGACGAGTCTGAGTTTATGAAGAAATCGATACGTGCGGCGAAAAAGCGCGCTCGCCAGGATGAGGAGGATCCCGAGTTCATTGTGCGCAAATGGAAGAAACGACGCCGAACCTCGGAGAAAGACGGTGTCGCGCCGACTGGTAACGACGGCGACGCGAATGATACCAACATGGACCCTGCCTTGTTCAACCAGCAAGCATCTGCGCCTGTGGCGCCTATGGAGCCTAGTAACGGCTTGGAGTCAGGGCAGCCACCGGTGACACGTGAGAGTCTTGAGGCTGCAGAAGAGTCGACCAAAGGCCAGCCGGCCCCCGTATTTGACGCCAACGAGCCTGAACTCCGCCACGCGAGGCCGCGGCATTCCTACGCGGACTTCGATGAGCCCGAGATCGATGCGTTTGATGAGGACGACATTGTTATCCGGAACACACAGGTCAAAAGCGCAGCCGAGTTGGCATCGGAAGCCTTCAAGCGCGCGCTTGGCGAGACCGGAGTTTCCGCTGGGAACGGATCTGCAGGCGAGGGCTCACCGGCTGCTGATGGTGTGAAGGTTGTGCGACGAGGACCAGGACGGCCCCCAGGTCCAGGTCGACCCCCAGGCCCAAGGCCGGCGCCAGCTGCCGCTGTTCCCACAGCGCCAGAGCCAACGGTCACGTCGCACACACGCAGTGGCCGAGCCGTCAAATCGACCTTGCCAAGTAGCGCGTTGGCGGGGGTTGAAGACGCAAAGGCCTCTGAAACCAAACTGGCTCGACGTGCAAGGCCTAGGCGTTCTGGCGTCACTACGATTGGGCAAGGAGTCAACGAGGAGGAAGAATCTAACGAAGACACCGAGGAGCCTACAGACGACGAGGCAGAAGAGCCTTCATATCGGGCTCCCAAGGTTTCGAATGGCAAGGGCCGCAGAGGACGTCCACGCAAGTCAGAAGCGGCCGCGGTGTCTGTTGATAGCGACGACCCCTTCGCCTCGCCGCCAGCCGCAGCCATGCCAAGCTCGACACCGGGTCCTCGCCGTCGAGGCCGCCCTCGCAAGTCAGAACCAATTGCGCCTCCGGACAAGGACGATGAAGAGGACAATGAAAGTGGCCTGGCCGTCGAGAGTGCGGGAGAAGACGCTACGCCTACGGCCGTCAAGGGAACCAGGCCCAGAGGCCGACCTCGAAGATCGGAGGTGGCTGAGCCTGCCGTCGAAGCTGAGACACCGACTGCGTTTATGTCGATGAAGGAACGCATGAAGCTAAAGGGCAAGAAGTTCAAGATTGGTACGCTTAAGTCGCAAGGCCCTGGACAGACTGTAAGCAGCGGGGGAGGGTCAAGGGCACGAGACGGAACCGAAGACAGAGAGGAGACTGACGCTTCACCTCCGCCTCCTGGAGGAGCAAGCGGTAGCGAAAGCGACCGAAGCCCTCCGCCCCCTGGACCCTCGTCCCGAGTGTTCGCGCCATCTGGCCGGACCGTGGTTCGACTTGGTGAACACAGCGATGCGTCTGACTTTGAGGACGAATTGGGAAAGGCACAAACACAGAGCGAGTCCAGCGATGACGATGACATCCCTGCTGAAGCAGCGCCTCGTGTTGCCCCAGCATCTCGAGGGCGAGGTGGAACAAGGGGACGGGGACGTGGAAGAGGACGGGGGAGAGGGAGGGGTTGAGGTTGGGAGGAGAGATGTGATGCTTGTGATACCCGGTCTTTGCTTCAGCCGCAACGCGTTACCTTAGGATCCTTTGATCACCATCATCATGTCGAATGTAAGAGGATGATCGCCAGACAGGCATGCATACATGTACATCCGAAGCACGTGACAGGGAGTGCTAAACAGTCCATACGGGCATTTTAAGAGCCCGCACGCTCGGAGAATTAACAAGCCCGTGTGTACGTACATGCTACATGCTGTCGTATCGTCGAGGCTGAGTTACATACTGTACCCCTAATTAGACGCTGACTACGGAGTATGAGGTCTCGTTACACGCGAGCTCGACAGATACGTGTAGATGGGTATCGTACCCCGTAAGCTTCGGTCCAGTCGCGACGGCAATATCGGTAGTCGGGCTGCCAAGATAAGTTAGACTGCTCTGTCTTGGTCCACACGCCAGGAACACGGTTGGTTAATCAAGAACTTAAGGGTAAATCAGGCTGAAGCTAAAGGTAAGGTAGCACCATCCAATCCTCTCGCCAGGGGCACGTGCGCCTCTTCCGCGCCTCCACGTTCCCAGAGGCCGCATCCCGATCGGATTCGCGACATTAATTTGTAGCTAGGGTCTCGAAGCCACCAGACAGACAGGTATCTTTGACTTTGGATCCGGTCCTTTCACTCGTCCGAGTCTAAACACGTGCAGCTAGTTCCATGAAACGTAATACGGACTATTGCCATTTCTACCTACATAAACGTACCTTAGGTAGTAGTTGAAATGCATCCTGTCCTCCTCCAGGCCGAATCCAAAACCACCACCATCCTCGCCATCCTGACCCTCACCCTCGCGCTTGCGCCCATGGCTCCCATCCCGAGTAAGATCGCCACCGCCGTGGTGGGCGTCGCGCTCTTAGCGGCGACGCGAGTCCAGGCGGTGAAGCAGGAATGGCACGCGCCTGCAGAGTCGAACGTGAACAACTTGACAACGGCCGTTCACGGACAGGGCACGTATGGGTTCATCTTCAATCGCAGCGACACACCGGACGACAAGTACGGGACATACAACTACTGCAACATGCCCCATGTCAGGGCCAAGGAGTACGTCAAGGTGGACAAGAACGCGTTTGAGCTGCAATATGTCGAATTGGTGAGTGCTGTCTTTCGCTTCTTGAAAGGAGGAAAAAACGCAGGCAAGGCCTAATCAACGTTGTGAGTAGATTCATCGCCACCACAAGCGCACGCCCTACGCGTCCAATGCCTTCCCAGTCGAGCCCTATCAATGGAACTGCGACGACCAGGGCCTGTACTTCTACGGCCGCCCCTTTGATGGCCACGATGCCGCCAAGGGCTATCGCGCGGGCTTCATCTCGGACGTGAATCCCTACGTCCCCAGCGGGTGGATCGGCAGCTGCCAGTTCCCGCAGATCACGCCCGGCGGCTTGGATGACTCCTGGCAGCACGGCGCGGATCTGTACGGCGTCTATGGCCAGGAGCTCGGATTCCTGCCGGCCAAGGGCGACAAGAGCTTCGACGACAAGGTCAAGTACCGCGTGACCAACAATGTCATCACCAGCCAGGTCGCGGGCATGCTCATCAACGGCATGTGGGGGACCACTGAAGATGTCCCACTCCACGTCCAGGCCACCAACATTGACAGCCTCGAGCCCCAGTATAGCTGCCCTACGGGCGCGAACGTGTTCAACAACATCAAGTCGAACAACAACCCCGAGTGGAGGAGCCATCTTGAGGAGGCTGAGGAGCTCTATCGCGCCCTGGATGATATCTCGGGCGTTGATGCCGGCGGCAACTTCCACGCCTCCTTCGACCCTTATTTCGACAACCTTTCCTCGCGCCAGTGCCATGGCAAACCCCTCCCCTGCAAGCTCGTCGACGGCGTGGAGATTGATGACTGCATCACCCAGGAGATGGCTGATGCTGTGTACCGACTCGGTCACTGGGAATACAGCCAAATGTACCGCGACCATCCCGACTCGTTCTCGGCCGCCTCAGCCAACTTTGGCGTCTGGGTCGCCGAGCTGGCTGTCCACCTGCGCGAGGTCATGGATGGCAAACGCGAGACCATCTACTTCCACAATATTGCCCACGACGGCTCCGTCTCCCGCCTTCTGAGCTTGCTCCAGATTGACGAGATGGTCTGGCCTGGCATGGGCGCCGAGGTCGTTTTCGAGCTCTACAAGAAGAAGAAGGCTGGTGGCGGCGCTCAGCCGCCCAAGCCCACGTCGACGGTCGTTGCGCCCGACTGCAGCCACAACAACTGCCTGCGCCAGATGATCCGTCACTCCGAAGCCGCCCGATCGCTGTGCCCCAGCCTCACGCGCTCCAACACGGCCGAATCCCTGCCGACGTGGCCCGTCGAGTGCGACGACGTCGAGGAAATATACTCGGCATGCTCCTGCTTGGATCTCCAGGCCACGGCTACAGCGACAGACAGCCCGATTCCTGCGCCCACCGCCACCACAACGCCCAGCGACAGCGGCTTCTATGTCCGCGTCCTGTTCAATGGGCAGGTCTTCAAGTCCTCGAACCCCACGTTGGGCGAGATCGACATGCTCGCCGCGGAGACCCTGCTGGCTTATTTTGACGATATAGCTGGCAAGAGGGCAAGCAAGGTTAGGGACCGATGCGGCAACTGAGCTACCGAGCGCATCGTGTGTAGTAGCAAAGCATTTGATAGATATAATGATACCCAAGCAAACGCTCACGCAGCGTACAATTGCGCCTCCAAGTCGTTCCACCGACCCGTGCGTTGCGGATCAAGTGATTTCAGTTGCGCCAGCCAATCCTTCAACTCAGTAGGCTTGGCCTGCTGTCCAAGCCGGCTGAGTGACTGCGTGTACTGTATCAGTGCCTCGTAGATCCATTTCACATCTGTGTAGTCCTCGAGGAGGTCTTTGATCTCGTCTATCTCGCGCTCAATGTAGGAGCGGCGCTGGTCGACGGACAGTGCTGGCGCTATGGTTTGTGAGCAGGCGTCGTCGATGATGTTGGACGCGAGGAATTGGTGATAGAACCAGAGGGACTGGTCCTCGGGCCCAACATTCAGGCCATCCCGAATGAAGGCAAGTTCTGCCCAGTGTAAGTGAAGGTCACCATCACGGTCACAACTGGCTTACCGTCATCTAGGAACTTTTGCCTTGCTTGGTCGTCCGCGTCCCTCTCCCTGAGGAGTCGTGGGATGAGCTGGCTGCGGTAGTGCCAGGCCGAGAAATTGGACAGGTCCATGCGGATCATCTTGGTGGTGTACTCGAATTCCGACTCTGTCATGCTTTGGCCGGCCAGGGCAGCGCTCTCGAGCTGATCGACCACATATCGTCTATAGCCCCAGGCGTGAAAGTTTCGTCGGTCTCTATGTAGCATTTTGCCCACCAGACCCAGCTCTTCTTCCCAGACTTTGCGCGCCACGTGCGTGGGCAGGCGCACGATAGCCTGGCCCAGCGTCCAGAGTCGGTAATTCCAGATCCAGTAGCATTTGGGGAACTCCATCAGCAGCGGCACCGTGAAGACTAGCTCCGACTTGATAATCTCGAGATCTCTCATCTGGCGGTCCTCGGTTGTTTCAGCTGTTGTACCACTCATCCCAGTTTTCGGGTAGTTGTGGGACGGCGGGGTCTCGGTCGAGGAGGGCGGTGACGAGCTGGCGGAAGCTAGATGTGAGGTGCCTGTCGCTGAGAAAGTCGAGGACCCCTTCGAGAGCGAGGACATAGCCCAAGGTTTGGACGAGCTGCCGGAGGTCAAGCATCGTCTGCGGATGTTCCACACTGTGTAGTACTCGGGGTTCTGGCGGAGGAGCTTGGACGTGAGGCTGAAGGTGTCCTGGTCGTAGTCCTGACGAGACACTCTGTCGCGGATGTCGTCCTCTAGAGTGCGATAGCGGGCAATCTTGTCGAGGTCGGCTTGGCGCTGTTCTTCTGTCCGGGGACGCGTGGCGCGGGCAATGCCGTGACCGTGCTGAGAAGGTGTCAGTAGGGGGGGTGGATTTGGCGTTGGAATGGAGAGCACCCACGCTGGTCATCTTGTTGTCTAGAGGGGAGAACTTGGGATCGCGACTGCGACGCTGCAGCTCCAGACGGGTAAATGAAGAGTTCAACAAGGGTGTTCTGGCTTGGTCGTCCGCAGCTGCATCGATGATTGGGGCATGCTTTACTCATCCGCCGCCTTTGGTGGGTGGTGTTTTTAGTCGCCAAGGCGGAGGCAAGCGAGAATGCTTACCCTAGGCTCAGGTCGCCTTGATCTGAGAAGACCAGAGTCCACATCCATCCTCCAATCTCCATATCGGCTCGACACCTGAGCAACATCCATCAAGTGCACGCAACGCTCCTACGAATATAAAGGCTATGCTACATATACAGTCCTCTGGATCTAGAGTATGGCGAATGTAGCTAATCGCACGGGCATCCGCGCGCAACCTTCGACGACACAATGCTCTCGTGATTCTACGACGGATGGAAACTGCCACGAACCATGGCCCCGCTAGGATTGCGCATACTGCTGATCCAAAAGGGCATTTCCGGCTCGGCACCGTAGCATGCGCGAAACTGACCATTCGAGGCATTCGTCATATCATCTCCGATGTTCGAGAGCGCCTGGGTCCCAAGGGAGAGCGGCGGAGCGCGGAGCGCCGGTGTTCATTGCAAACTTGAAGACAAGTGCGACATTGGCCGTATGGCCGCAATTGCCGCACGTTATTATACTGCGCTTTCATGTAGCAGCATCCTTTTCGAACTGCCTGACGCACCTCACGCACGAGTCACGACGAACTGAAGCCCTTTCCAGTGCCTGCTCCGGCCTGACGAACCACCACCGTTGGTGAGCGCGTGGATGATGGATCCGAGGCTGGTCAGGGTCTGAGACATTCGAGTCCCTATTGATCGAATGTGGCTTGCCGCTGGAATCTCCCTTCACAGATCGACTTGTTCTCACACGTGCTGGACGCAGGCGACGCAAGTCACGGAGTGGTTGGGTCTGAGACTAGTGCTTGGCTCACTGCTGCTCAATGCCACGATACCCGCGGTTTTCGAACAAGGTCCGGAAATTTGCATCTGGACAGATGCACTTACCCATGCGTGTACGTGGTCGCGAATAATCCAAAGTGGCTGGACCGGTAATAGGTATGTTAGGTCCCCCATCCAGGCGTATTGGATGGTTGGAATGCATTGACACGCGATCTTGGTGCGCTTCACGCGATGGCCACGAGCGGTATTGGTGTTTCGATAGCTATTTGGAGTTCACTGGTGCATGTCAATGTCTTCTTCGCGATGGACATGTGGTAGCGAATCGTCTTGTACAAGTAGCGACCGAACCCAACTACAGCGCTCCCTTGGCCTCGAGGAAACTATCTTTGGCATCTTCATACGCATCAAGCAATCATACCTCCTTGAGCTCATCAAGCTTTCAAGATGCTGTTCTTACTGTACCAGATACTGGCTCTTCTTGCCACTGTCAAGGTTGCCGCGGGCCTGGCTGATCCAGGGCACAACGTCTCCCTAGACGCCTCCCTGGACCATTCGAAGCGAGGGACTGGCTACATCAACGCAGTCTATTTTACCAATTGGGGAATTTACGGTCGCAACTACCAGCCTGCCGATCTTCCTGCCCAAGATATTACTCATGTCCTCTATTCCTTCATGAACCTCGACCCCAGCGGCAGGGTGTAAGTGGAACCGAGCCCCTATTGTCAGGAGACCCGAGGAACTGACCTAAAGCAGGTTTTCCGGCGACACATACGCTGACCTCCAGAAGCACTATCCGGGCGACTGTAAGTGATTTCACCTGTAAGGGCTGACTGGGCCACTGATCATCTCGCAGCCTGGACAGAATCTGGCCACAACGCCTATGGCGCCGTCAAGCAGCTGTTCAAAGTCAAAAAGGCAAATCGCAATGTCAAAGTCATACTCTCTATAGGTGGCTGGACCTGGTCCACTAATTTTCCTTCTGCCGCGGCTACATCGACATCTCGTGCCAACTTTGCCAAGAGCGCCGTTACTTTGGTGAAGGACTGGGGCTTTGACGGCATCGATATCGATTGGGAATATCCAGCAACCAGTACCGAGGCGAACAACATGGTCCTCTTGCTAAAGCGCGTGCGTCAGGAGCTGGACTCCTATGCGGCCAAATATACGCCAGGACACCATTTCGAGCTGTCGATTGCTGCTCCCGCAGGACCTCAGAATTTCAACAAACTCAAACTCAAGGAACTCGGACAGGTAGTCGACAACATCAACCTCATGGCATACGACTATTCTGGCTCGTGGGACGGTGTGGCCGGCCACCAGGCAAACATCTGGGCCACCAAGGGCACTGACAAGGCCACCCCCTTCAACACCCGTGCTGCTGTGGATGCATACGTCGCCGCCGGGGTCCCCTGTTACAAGATCATCCTCGGCATGCCCATTTACGGCCGGGCCTTCACCAACACAAAGGGGCCGGGTAGCGCCTTTAGTGGCGTCGGACCAGGCAGCTGGGAGAACGGGATCTGGGACTACAAGGCGCTCCCGTTCCCGGGCAGCCAGATGCACTACAACAAGCTGCTTGGTGCCACGTGGACCTACGACCCGAAATCGCGTACCATGATCTCTTACGACACCCCTGCCGTCGTTCGCCAAAAGGTTCGCTTTGAGAAGCGTAGAGGCCTTGGCGGCAGCATGTTCTGGGAGGCGTCCGCCGACAAGAAGGGGACCGAGTCGCTCATCTTGACAGCGAAGAACAGCATGGGCAGCCTGGCCAAGAAGCAGAACTGCCTCGCGTACCCGAATTCTATTTACGACAATATACGGACCGGCAAGGTTTGAGGAGGGTGTTGTTGCGCGAAGACACACGACTTATGATACCACGTTACGCTAATCGCATGTTGACCGGGCTCTCTAGACGTTATATACACTAAGATATGTTATCCAGATAGATCGATAGGCGTACTTTGAATAGTAATTTGCTTTGGAGTGTCCTGAGCACCAGCACTTACAGCAGTTGACGTGCCTGTGAATTGATGGACGGACGGTCAACATCTCTTTCCATCTTACCTTACTTCAGACGTATCGCTTAAGGCAACCAACCCCCTCGGTATAGCGTGCCTTCCAAGGAAACCACCATCTCCAGGCTCCAGTCGCTCCTGCTCAAAAATCTGCACAGAGTGCCCGATGGCCACGCAGTGGAAGGCATCTGCCTACTGCTCACCACTCACCTCTAGCCTTACCTTACAGCAATCCAGTCATTGCATGACCAAGGCAGTCGCTGGCGACTGAATTAACAACCCATGGAGAAGTAACTCGACAGCTGCCGCTTTCTTGACCTTTCCAACTACTGCCCTCCTAAAACTCTGTCTCCTGAACCTGAACCTCGAACTCGAACTACCAACATCTGTACTAACCAGACAGCATCATCAACACTCCGTCGCCACTGGGGGTTGCGCCATTCTCTTGCACCAGCAGTCAGGCAAATCTTATCACAGCAATACTGTTCTTCCGCGTCGACCTTCTTTCTTTGTTTTCGTCTACTCCTTACTGTTGGATGCACGATACTATCCCATGTGTATGGACCTCAACCGAAGGCCATCCCATATCTGCCTCATGATCCAAACATGTCCAGGGTTCTGTCAGCATGCGGGAACTTACCAAGCCATAGAGCTGGGTTCCGAGAGCGCCATGTCTCCAAAGACGTCGACCAAACAGAAAGCCCGGGCGACTCCGGATACAGCTCTCACGAGGATGCGTCACCGATTCGACCGCCCATAAGAACATGGAGGACCGTGCCCATCTTTGATGGTCCAGGCTCGACACGCGGATCGGAGGACGACCCTATCGAAGATAGCCCACGGAGCCTCTATGCGTACCGCGAGGAGCCACTGGGCGATGGTCCCAAGTCAAGAGCAACGTCAAACCCTGGACCACTCCCGCGTACCCCTGGGTCGAAACTTCGGAGCTTCTTCGCCCTGCACCCAGACGAGAATGAACACCTCCAGTCCCCACGAAGTAGAGGAAGCCCCCAGTGCCAGCGACCAGATCGGTTTGTGCCGCTTCGAGATGCAGCGTCATCCACGGCGGAGCGATTCCGAATGAGTCGGCCAGTCAACATGCTTTCCTCATCGGAGCGGCTCGTTCGGCATGCTGCAGCCTCGCTTGACCCTTTTGTAGCATCTGGAATACCAATTACAAGAGAGAATACGCACAGCGCAGGACCAGAGCCATCGGTGGAACCTCATTCCACTCTACCCCGTGAGCGCACAGCCTTCAGATGTATCCCGACGCATGCTAACGCTCATGAATAGCACCCATAGTCGCTATATCCCCGATTCCTGTCGCCGAGCGGCAAGTCAGTCGAGGCGCCGTCTGGTCGGTGGGTGGACTTGCCCCCATGGGTCACCCCGTCGACGATGGACGCGGCCACATGATCCGTTCAGGCACTCACGCTCAGGTCTACACCACGCCGATCTCGCGCGGCAAGTCAACACCGCAGAGCGACTCGGAAATCTATCAAGGTCGCATCGCAAAAGCTCTCAATGTCGACCGTGTCCGCAAGATCCTCGACTTTAGCGGTCGCTCCACTTCACCTCAGGCATCACGAGACGCCAATGGACGCTTAACGAAAATGGAAGCAAAGACAAAGTGGGATGGCGTGGGGTGGGTGAGGGCCAAGGAGACTGAAGGTGAAATTTCTGGACAAAGTCAAGGTCTTGCGGCTGATGGTCATAACAGGCGCTCGATCACGGAAGCCTACAAGATATCGCATCTTACCAGCCCCTCCCTTCAGGTCAGATGTTGTTGACTTCGACGGACGCATCTGTGCTAACATTCGACAGAGTCCTGGATGCGCCGAGTCTCCGCGATGACTTTTACTGCTCAGCGTTGGCTTACTCGACAACTTGCCATATGCTCGCAGTTGGCCTGGGCAACAGCTTGTATACATGGTCCGAGGCTACCGGGGCCAACCCGATGAATAAAAGTTCGAACGACAGCAGCTGGATTACCTCGGTAGCCTTTTCTTCTGCACAGGGCAAAAAGAGCATCCTTGCCATCGGACGAGCAGATGGAGATCTCGTCCTTCAGTCTACGTTCGACTCATGCCCCCGATTTGAGATAAGACAACCTTGGGGTGTAGCGTGCTTAAGCTGGCGTCCACGGTGTTCGATGCGTCCTTCCAGAAATCCTTACAACCCTGGCGTTTCCGTGCAGACAGAAGACCTTGTAGTGGGCTACGAGAACGGGATCATATACTACTATGTGGTTGAGTACCCCCTCGCCTAGGAGGTAACGAGGGACACATGGCAAGGCTCAACGACAATGGTAGCCAAGATCGCAATACATTTCCAGCAGATCTGTGGTCTGGCATGGTCTACCGACGGTATGTCGCTCGCTTCTGGTGGAAACGACGATCTTTGTTGTATATTTGATGCAAACGATATCCTGGGTGTCGAGCAACGACATGAGACGACGATACAACGCACCGACGCAGGGGACCCAGATGCTCCAAGAGTGGCCGGTGAGCTTGAGCTAGGCGAGAGTGACCTTCGAGAGTATGGCGCCAGTCGCATCCACCATGGCCGCGGGTCCGAGATGAGGACATCGGCTACCGATGTCACCCAGATCCATCGAGCTCGAGCTGCAACATTTTCTCTGCGAACCTTGACCCCTGGCAGCGAGCGGCATTGCTGGATCCACGGCGCCGCTGTCAAAGCCATTGCATTTTGCCCGTGGACACCGGGCCTCGTTGCCACGGGCGGTGGTTCCAAGGACAAGTGCATCCACTTCTTCCATACGACATCAGGAGCTGCATTGGCAACAATTGCCGTGTCGGCCCAAGTCACATCTCTCATCTGGTCAACGACAAGACGCGAGATTGCGGCCACGTTCGGCTATGCTCAGCCTGAGCACTCTTATCGAATTGCTGTTTTCAGCTGGCCTGATTGTCGACAAGTCGCAGCCATCCCGTGGAATCAAGGACTGCGTGCCCTGTACGCAGTTCCGTACCCATCTGCTCCTTGGGTCGGCGAACCATCCTCCGGCGGCCGCCCAGTCCACCAAGGTTGTCTGGTAGTCGCTGCAAGCGACAATTCCGTCAAGTTCCACGAGGTATGGCCAGATGACAAGAAGTCAACGACAGGTGGGCCTGGTACATTGGCCGGCAGTGACATCCTGGAGAGTCTCGAGGGGATTGACAAAGAGGGAGACGTGATCCGCTGATGCTGTACTCCTGACAGTAGGATGTCGTGCTTTGTATACCTAAGTAGCGAATGAGAGACATGGGAATGCAAAACAATCAAGCTATTGCCATTGTGTAGATCGTACACTGGCTGGGTGATATTAATATCGAACAGACCAAAAGAAACAGCCACCAACGCCGAACAAATGCCAAAAAGCGCTTAGCAAGGATACCCTCAAGTCTCGCACGCTGTCTACTTCAAGATAGCAATCAGCAGCACCAGAATGATGATCAACACCACAATGGCCGTAATCTGCTTGTTGTCGCCTGCGCTCCTCGCGACCTTGTTCACGGCCCGGGAGGCTCGGTCCAACCGGCTCTGATGCCTGTCGGTGGCGCTCTCGACCTCGTCGAGCATGGCGACATGCGAGTCAAGCTCATCGCCAATCTGCATGCTCAGATCCCTCTGCCGTCCGATGCTCTCGCCCAAGCGGTCGAGCTGTTCATCCTGGTCATCAAGAATCTGCGAATGATACTGATGGAGCTGCTGGTTGTCTAGCGTCTGCGCATGATCCGCGTACCCGTGATTCTCCGGCTCGGGATCGTCGTGATACGGACCGAACAGCTCCCGCGATGGGGACGACGGGGTATCGCTGAAGCGCACAGTCTTCGATGCTTTGCGCTCGGTGGACGATGCGTGCGAAAAGTCCTCGGTGAGGGAGGCGGAGTTGGGATGCGTGAGGGTCTCGTTCGCAGAAGGGCTGGCGAAGCCGTGGAATTGCGATGTCAAGTCGTTGAGCTGCTTCTGGAGAGATGGGAGGGCGTCGGTAATGGCGGATCTAGATGGACCAGACGTTTAGTATCTCTGTCACGATCGCAAACTGGCGCCATGTTCCTCGGTGCTTCGGTTTCGACTTACGCATCCTCGCCACCGGATTCTAGCCGGGTCTTCTCCTCCTCAAGGGAGTTGACGCCGTCGCGGAATTGATCCAGCGAGCGGGAGATGTGACTATCTTGGTTGGAGCCACCCGCATCGTCGAGGTGTAGTGTCTGGGCGCGCTGGCGTTCCAGAAGGGAGAGCTTTATGTGGTCGGCGAGGAGGAAGAGCTGGTTCGGATTCGACATGGCAGTGACGGCTGAAGAAGGCTTGCGAAATGATGGCTGGTTGACGGCTTCGATGATGGAGGATGGATGATCTGTCGTGATAGTTAGTCTAGCTACCCTACACCTGTCACTAGTGTCCATACATCGAAGCCTCCGGTCTTAAGTACCGCACTAGTGTGGCAGTAGTCCAGGCAACGATCAAATTGCTGTCCCAATCACGCATACGTAACGCAATATTACACTTTGAATTTTGGAATTCAATTCGCTTTTATTCTGTTACGAAAAATCAGGAGCAACCTGTCCCGCTAGAGTTGTGTTCCCCAATTGTCTGCTGTCAAAAACCCAAACGCCAGTGTCCCAGTGCCACCCCTTTCCAGTCCCATCACATCCCAATGTAAAGTCATGCATTTACCGCGTATCACGTCACCTAAAGCCCGTTGAACCCTAAACCCACGATAAAAGAACGAGGAAGGCAAAGAAGAGTCTTAATCCAGGTGCATCTGCGCCTCCAATTGATGCTCCGCTTGCGACGTCATGGGCGGGGGCGATTCCACAGCCTTGAGGGTATCCGCACCGTCAAACACGGGCGGCGAGGACTGCAGGTTGCGGAAAGCGCCCTCGATGCTGGTGCTGACGAGGCGGCCCTGACGAAGGTCCTCTGCGAAGAGGAAAAAGCCCTCGTTGCACTCGACGAGATAAGACTCGAGGCCCTTGCTTTCAAGGCGAATCTGCGCGTTGCTCACAGGATAGTGCTTTTCGATGAAACGTGCCCAGCCACGGGCAGCGGCCTGAATGTGCTCGTCGTCGCTGATCTTGCGCCACCCGATGCCGAGGTGTACGGTGAAGTCATCCACGACGGGTGCTGCTTTCGGGGGCGACGAGGTAATGTCAGAGGCCGCGGGTGTGAGAGGCAGCAGGGTGGGATCGCTGGTGTCTACACGCTGCAGCTTCTTGCTGCGCGCGGCCATCTGCTCGCGCTCGAATTTGAGGCGTGCCTCCTCATCGGCCGCCTTGCGCTCTTCGAGCCAGGTACCAGATTGACTCGCCGCGTCTGCAACATAGCCTTTGTTCGGCTTGATGAGGGTCATGCCCGGGCCAAGCGTCCATCCTTCCTCGGACTCCTCCTCTAGGGGAGCGGGAGGCGCATCGGGTTCAAGATTGACGGCAGCCTCGTCGCGTGAGCGCTTCCTGGCTGTAGACGCCGCTGGAGGGACACCGGAGGTGTAGTGTGATTCTGGTGCAGGGTGGCTGGGAGTGAAGGCTGCGCCTCCAAAGGGATTCTGAAGAACAGGTTGAGGTGACATGGAAAGCACTGGCGCCGAGTTTGAAGACTGACGACCAAAGGTGGACATGACTGATGTAGGTCGACGGTGTCTGTAGTGAAATGAGGATTAGTATGCCGCTGTACGCACAAACCAACAATGGCCGGAGCTGATAGCTTGGTGACACAGGGTCAATCAAAAGGCCTAGGTTCGCTGAGGTATTGATGGTGTGGTGGTTGTTGGTCCCCAGAAGGGCTGAGGTGGTGGTGGTGTTGGAGAGATTATGGCGGTTCTGGCGAGTGTGTGAGACTCGTGTAAGAGGGTAGGCTGAGGGAGGAGCGAACAGGCACAACGTCGCGGACAGCTACAAGAGAGGAAAGATGAGAGTGGCTAATGGGGAGTGGTGTGGGTGAGATTGACAGGAGAGCAAGAGGGAAAGTTTAAAGGAAGGGGAGAGACTCGAAGAAGAGAAGACGAGACGGAGGAACCGAGAGAGGGCGAACTGGAGCCTCTCTGGCTGGCTGATCGCGACTGGAAGGTTGTCGGATTGCGATTCCACGGCGCACGGTTAACCCGGGGTAGCCAGACTGAGTGGACTCTCGCGGTACATAGATTCAGTTAGCCCCAGCAGGCATTCCACGCATATTTGCTATCAGACTCTAGTCTCCTGCTAGGAACAGCGCTAGCAGCCGACACAGTGCGCCAGGGCAGCGCCTCGTCAACATGCAAACGCAGGTCAGCAGAAGCCAATCACGTTGGACCCTTAGAGCCCGCAGGGATCAACGCTGCTTGCCTTTTCCGGCCTCGGGCACGTGCCGTCTCTCGGATGATACTTGATGCGGCTTGTGGCTCGGAATAGATCAGCCGTCAATTAGCCGTGAGACCAGATGCATTGGGCAGTGAAGCGTCGTATTGATCAATATCAGTAATTGCTGCTTTCAATGAAATGATAACTCGATCTGATCAAGCTTGGCGGTGCATGATTACTTCGTCAGTGTTCTCTCTACCATCCGGAAGACCATCGAATCCAGATGCTCTCCTCATGCTGAATTCCTGTGACCGACGCCGCCGCACGGCCACCGTAGGACTTCCAAAGTCCCCAGGGTCTCGACGTCGAGGCGGCATCGTTCGCGCCCCGTCCCGGCTCGTCCAGTGGTGAGATGCTGACAAGTCTCTCGGTGTCTGAGGTTGGTACCGTGCGGGAATGGAGTCATTGTACACTAGCTGGGAGGCTGGTCGGTCGTCATGCAATCTCCTGTGAGGAAGTTCGACCGTCCACGACGCGGACAGCGCCGAGGGCAGGGTTTCGTCGCTCTCGGAATTCTCAGAACACTCCAGCTGTGCCTGGTCATGCTCCTCAGCCTGTATTGTTCAGTAACATGCAATGGTTCACTTGACTCGGGTGACATACGAGTGCCAGGGTGCGAGAGCGTGTCGAGAATGCAGGCGGTATCAATGGAGGCGAGACGGACCTCAGCCGTTTCCCTGGTATACGACGGCCTGCAATCATGATGTGCGCTGTACCGGTATGTACGAGCGTGCTCGTCGGAACTGCATGGGATTAGTATCTATCCTGGACGATGGAGTGCGTGCCTACCGTCTGAATCATTGTCTACGCCGATCTCAGCTCCTAGGTCGTCGGTCGACCCTCTAAGAGGACTGGCAAGCATGTCGTCTGGCAGGTCTCTTATTAGTACGAGACCGCCGTCGCCTGCCAGAGCCCGCTGAGCTTTGCGGGAATGTGTCTTGTGGTCCACTGCCTGAACATCTCTGGATGTTATGCTCAAGGTTGTTGGGGGCAGGCGAAGCATGTTTTCGTTGCAGACTGGACCAGCAGGATGATGTGGCAGAGGTAATACCGCCTCCCCGAACGAAAGGTCTGACAATGGAAGCATGGTACTAGTAATTCATCACTGGGAAGGCAGTGCAGCCATGAGGCTCCTTCCACGACGCATATACTATAAAATATCCCACTGCAGTGCAGGCCCCTGAGAGGCAGGAGCTTTGGGTTCAACGATTGTTTGGTCCTCAATCCAAACTAAGGTAAGTTTTAGTACTAAGTGCTTAAAATTGTCTCGTCTTCTATATGCCCACGGCAGCTCAATGCTACTGGCGCAATTGAGTACCAGCTGAGCCTGACGATAGATTAAATGCCTATCAATCTGGATATTTCGTTCAAGAAGACCCTCATGAATGTGGGTGATGACGGGTAACACTTTGAGCACCACTGAAGTAGCCGCTGATTCCGTGACGCCTTATGAGATACCAACAACGCAACCCGCCATTTAAAGTGACTATAAGACGGCACAACTAAAGTACTTATATTTCCAAAAAGTCACAGAGGTAGTTGTTCGTAGCGACGCGGCGGCTTGGGACTGAACATCATCATGTATTACAGTGCAGGGTAGCCAACCCCTCACGACCCTGGGCAACTGGACAAGATTAACACGCACTAATAATGACAATTCAAGCTATTAGATGTACGGTATAGACCTGAGCAAGGACTAAAGCGTGCACCAATATTGTCTAGCAGAGCGATTGTATACGAACACGTGAATTTTCAAACGTCGCGTTGAATTCGAACGAGTCAGTTCCATTACGGGTGCAGAAGCCTCTGAGCATCGCCACTACAATCCTGGGGAGATCCGCTCTGACCTAGCGAAGTCAGAGGCTCCGGTCAGCGCGAGGTCCAATCTCCAACTCCTGGCGCACTGACTCGACCCTTTGCTGCCCATTACAACCTCAAACTCAACCAAACGAGCTCCATTCTCTACGCGTCCACCCTTGGACTATCAAATACCTCACTAAAGCAACTGTGTTCTCCTTTGTTTATCAGTCGACATCGTCATTCATGACGCACGCGCCTTGTCCTCACACTCGGTCGTTGGCAAGATAATGATCGAACTGAATCTTAGCTTGTCAAACTTCCCTACCTCCATGTGACCGGCCGACCGTCTACCGCCTCGTCCTCAACCACTCTGCCGACTTCATAACCAGCTCGCGTAGTCGAGCCGCCGCTCGTTCTTCACAGCAGTCAGCACCATGAGCGGGGACCTGAGCTTGTCCCAAGCTCTGGGCGGGCTGCGTATAGCCAACCCCGACGACATTGCGCAGGCATCCTCAAATGCATCAGATCCTAATGCGAACACGCCCAAGACGACAGAGGGAGCTATCTTGACCAGCGACGGTGGTCCCTTGGCAAAGTCGCTCCCCGAAACCACGCCGACGCAACCGCAACCGCAGCCCGAACTGTCCAGATACGCAACGGCAGACAGCGTCCCCTCACGACAACACAGCCAAAGCGCTGCATACGAACCACATGGTATACCCCGACAGTCATCGGTGGCCTCGCAGAATAGAGCTCTGCCGCCGCGAGGAAGTTCGAAAGGGATGGGTCGAGGATATACGCAGATGCCTGGAGGCCCGGCAGCGCCTCTAGCTGTGGACGGCCCTATGCCCACCACGAGTGCGGAATGGCAGGAAAGAGGCGCAGCTGTGGGCATCCGTCGTGAAGTGGATGCCAACGGGCGAACCGTGGTCCGGCAAGTCAAGAAAGGAGTCCGTGATTTCTCGTTTGGCCGTGTGCTAGGCGAAGGGTCATACAGTTCAGTCTATCTGGCTACCGACCGTCAGACTCTGAAGGAGTACGCTATCAAGGTTTTGGAGAAGCGGCACATCCTCAAGGAAAAGAAGGTCAAATATGTCAACATTGAGAAGAACACACTCAACAGACTCACTGAGCATCCTGGTATAGTGCGGCTCTACTATACCTTTCAGGACGAAACATCTCTCTACTACGTTCTCGACCTATGCAATGGAGGGGAGCTTCTTGGTGTTTTGAAAAGGACGGGAACATTTGATATCGAATGCACCCGCTTCTACGGAGCTCAGATCCTGGACGCAATCGAATACATGCATTCGCGTGGGGTCATTCACCGCGACCTGAAACCGGAAAACGTTCTTCTCGACGACGCAATGCACGTCAAAATAACAGATTTTGGAACTGCCAAGCTACTGCCAGACCCTCGCGAAGCTCAAAAACAGCAAGATCCTTCAGCAAGGGGGATGCCAGACCCTGGTAGGCGGGAGGCTGAGGAGGACAGCCGCGCGGCTTCCTTTGTGGGTACGGCTGAGTATGTGAGCCCGGAATTGCTTACGAACAAAAGTGCCTGCAAAGCCAGCGATCTTTGGGCCTTTGGTTGCATCGTCTATCAATTGCTGGCAGGCCGACCACCCTTCAAGGCGGGCAGCGAGTACTTGACCTTTCAGAAGATTGTGAACCTGGAATACGAGTTTCCTGCCGGCTTTCCCAACGCAGCCCGTGACCTGGTCGAGCGGTTGCTGGTGTTGGATCCTGCGCGCCGGTTGACAATTGAGCACATTCGCAATCATGAGTTCTTTGATGGACAGCCATTTGGCGTGGGCCTCTGGCGTGCCAAGGCACCTCGTCTTCGCCCTTATGTGCCACCAACTCCTGAGCCAACAGTGATCCAACTTAACGGGGGCCCTCATTCCAGCACACCACAACAGCCGCCGCAACACCGCCAACCCGCAACGAACCACTCGACTCCGTCCAATGGCGCGAATAGGTCAATGGCCCGTCTCATCACTGAGCTTCCGCCGCCTACACAGCTCGATATCGAGTGGTCCCCGGTGCTCACTAAGCCGCATGAGAGGATACTGAAGCTCGGGGACTTGATGGTAGTCTCGACTCCCCTGCCCTCGGGAGCAAACGGGAAGGGAGAAGAAGGACACAAGAAACTATCACGATTCTTCGGGGGAAGCACAACCAAGAAGCGCCAGCGTCTCGTCATCATAACGTCGAGCGGCCGCATAATCATGGCGCCCGCCGGAGGTGAAGATAAGCGCACCAAGCAAGAGTTATCTTTGATGGGTTCCGATTGCGCGTGGAGGACACAGCACGACGCAAAGGGCCAACTGGTTTGGTGTGTTGACACTGTAAGCAAGCCCACTCTCTTATTCTAGTTCACAGATTCTGACTTCACAGGGCGGCAACCATTACACGTTTGAAGACAACAAAAATGCCACGAGCTCCGACGACAAGAGAGCGTCTGCCGAGGAGTGGATTGAATGCATTGAACGAGCCAGGGACTATGCCATTATGCAATCCCAGAGCGTCAACAACTCTTATCATAGCGAGCCTGGCTACTCGTCCGCCATGTCGAGCCCATCGGGTACTCTCGCTGGGCTAAGCGGCAGCAACCTCGATCAGTATGGCGCTACCAGTGACCGCTATGGGCGCAGTCATCTCGGCAAGAGTCAGGCCAGCCTGGATGATCCCAGCCCAGTCCCCGAACGCAAGCGTAATCGGTTCAGCAAGCGACAATCTCGTAACGGCCTCGATTCGGCATTTTGAATACTCGGCACATTGCTCGGCATGGCGCGCGGCGTACTTGGGCGCATCTTGCTTCTTCTCTTCTTCTTGCTCTCATCCTTCAGCCTGAAAGCATCGTTTGTCTACCTTTGAAATGGAGCGGTGATATAGATTGACCACCTTACTTTCGGTCATTGTCGTACATTTGCAGCATGTTGGCATTTTGCTTTAATTGCTGTCTAGAGCGCAGCCGTGTTGGACGCATGGGGAGGTGGAATCATTGGCCGGCACACGACATGGTGAGAATGGGGAAAGCCCTCGCATTAATCACTCTATTGTAGAAGCTGTACTAGAGAATATTGAATACGAGTGATTGGGGAGCTAAATTGGACGCTGATACATAGCACATTCGTCCCATTGATTGTATCCTGGCGATGGCAAGTCGCTTATTAGGGAGGCGTCCACGTCACGTGATCCAAAGCATTTTCGAAATGCGACGCGACGGACGCGGCATCCTTGTCAGGCATCACGTTCAAGTTGTGATACCATCCAGCGCCAGTCAGTCGCAAATCATATTACACGCAGAAATTTGTCTCGGAACACGTGGTCAGCATGCAGCAGCAATACCGCGCGTTTGCGCAACAACAGCAGTTGCCGCCACGGCAATCGCAACCGCAACAGCAGCAGCAGCAACAGCAGCAGCGTCGCGGTGGCATCGGTACTACTCAACTCTGCCATCGCACAAGCGACAGAGCACGACGCTGACTTTCCTCACAGGTCCAATGATGTCTGCAGGTCCTCATCCCCAGGTGCCGCTCACGCAAGCGCAATTGCAGCAGCAACAGCAACAGGCCGCTCAGGCCAACGACATGGCGAAGCGTCGAAGCAAGAAACCGACCGACAAAACATTGCCAGACGGAGTCGCGGACTGCATTATCGACCCAGAGCCAGTTCAGCGATACAAAGACTTGCGGAACGTGGAACGACGCCTGGATGCGACCATGACACGCAAGAGGATGGACGTCATGGACTCCGTCAGCCGTCCCACCAAGTCAACCAAAACCATGCGTATCTGGATCAGCAATACGGTCGAGGATCAGGTCTGGCAGGGCAATGGGCTGAATGTGGATGCATTCGACTTCTCCCCGAACATGGACGCGACCTACCGAGTCAAGATTGAGGGGCGGTTGCTGGACGATGACGAAGATGCACAGGATGGAGAGATGGGTGGGCAAGAGAGGGACGCCGATGGCAACAAAATGGACGAGGATGGCCCTGGGGCGCAGAAAAAGACACCGACCAAGCCGAAGCCTCGGTTCTCCCATTTCTTCAAGGCGATGAACATCGAGTTCGACCCGTCACGCTACAGGAACAGCAACGAGCAGAGCATCGAATGGAAGAAGCCCGATCCGCCAGCTCCCCGCAACCAGCATCCCGTCGCGCTGCCAGCGGCGGCCGACTTTGACGACATTTCGTTCAAGCGAAGCGGGGACGAGAATGTCAACATCACAATCAGCCTACAGCGACATGAGACCCCAGAGCGGTACAAGCTGAAACCAGAGCTAGCCGAGGTACTAGATATGACTGAGGCGACACAGCACGAGGCTGTCATGGGGCTCTGGGAGTACATCAGGATGGCCCGCTTGCAAGATGACGACGAGAAGCGCAACTTTCGTTGCGACGATTTGCTTAGAAAGGTAAGCTTGATTATTTTGCTACGAGAGCTTAACTAATATTGTAGGTCGTCTGTCGCGATACAGGGCACGTTCCCCTATTGGGCGAGTACATTGTGCCACACCTTGTACCACTTCCACCGATCCAGCTTGAGTACACAATCCGCGTGGATGAAGAGTTCCACAAGGACCCCAAGCCGACCGTCTACGACATTCCAGTCACCGTCGAAGACCCTCTGCGGGCTGTGTTGCAGCCCTTCCTCACCAACCCTCAGTATGTCACCATGCTGAAAGAGGTGAACGGACTGGACGATCAGCTAGCGCGGCTGGTACAGGCCGTTTCGGTCTCCAAGGCCAAACACACTTTCTTCACCGCGCTGAGTGAAGATCCAGCCAACTTCATCATCAACTGGATGAGCTCGCAGAAGCGCGATCTGGACATCGTCATGGGCGAGACCAGTAGGGGAGGAGGCGACAGGATTCACAGCGATGAATGGAGGCGGGGCGGAAGCAACAGTGTCTGGACCACCCAGAACGCTCGGGAGAGTGTCAACGTTCTGCTGTCCAAGCAACCGCGGGTGTAATGACGCATGCTGAATGGGGCTGCGCGCGAATGGCAGAGGAGTCTGGATTTTCGTTTAGGGTGCGCGCGGTCTGGCGTTGGGCAACACATAGATTATATGCTATCATCTGCGAAATAGGGTCTAAGCACTGAAATTCAAGGTCTTGCGCTGTAATGTAGTATCTGAGGAAATGCCCAACTCCCAAACGCCTTGTGCCAAGTGACAGTCAATGTATCGTAGTCATAGCTTTCGTAAAACACTGTTTTTGTTCACAAGCCTTCCCCGAACCACTGGCAGCCTCATCGTTGAGGCGGCGGTACCGGTGCAGGAGGCAGGTTCCTGATTTGTTTGATCAGGAACTCTCTTTCGTCGATGAATTGCTCGTCATCTGTTCGGTCTTCCAGGAAATGCGCCAAGAAGTTGAGCAACCTGTCTCGATTCATGATGAGGATCTTTTGTACGGCAATGGACTTGTGGGGATTGGCCACGAAGACCTTGAAGACGTGGAAGCCCTCATATTGGACCATTTTGCGCTCATCGCGCAAGAGGTTCATGCATATCTTGAGGTGCTCACCACTCTCCACGTATGCAATCATGACATTGTAATTGGCCCGATCTAAGAGAATCTCCCCGAGCAGCTTGATCGATTGGCGTTTAGTGACGTATGATTTGGACTGAAGGAGGACGTTGTTGTATCGCTCGAAGAACAGATTGAAGTTGACTTTGAGATATTGGGGGACCAGTTCCTTGTGTCGGGTCAGTAGCTCCTGTTGTCTTTTGTCAGCATAGTGAAAGAGCACGATACTGCGAATAGGCCTACTCGGAATGTAGTGAAAGCATCAGCTGCCACCTCGAAGGAACTCTTGTCGACCCATTCAAAGAACCTCCAGAACACGCCCCTGCCACTCTGTGGCCGATCGCGGTCAATGGCGTTCAGTCCCTTGCTACTGGAACCGGGCAAGTTCTCATCGTCGTAGAGGATAATGGCCGCCGCCGCCTCGTTCTTGAGCAACTCCCGTAGCACTGAGCCGGCCGGGGTCGCGCTCTCCTTGTGGTCGTAGGCCCGACACAACTCCACCAGGACCTGCGGACGATTGCAGACAACATAAGATAATGCCAACGGGTCGCTTTTAGGTGCCGCAGCCGCCGGTCGGAATCGGAAGACGTATGAGAAGATGACTTGGGTATCTTTGCGGGCTTCGAAGGGTAGACGGTAGAGGTTCACAGCGAGGAGATGGAGGAGGTCCTCGTCGATGAGGCCAGTGACAAGCTGGTAGATCTGTTCGGGAGAGCTCTCAGCTTCTGTGGGGTGTTTTTAGCAGTGGCATCCTGGGGTCGCGGCTTTGATATTTACCTTGAGTGCCTTGCAACATGACCTTCATTTGACTGAGCACCCTCGCTAGCTCCTCAGCCTTGGCTGGTCCATTTGGTCCATCGAGTCTGGATATGTGTTCTCGTGCTTGCTTGCCCAGATCTGCGGTCGGACGTGACTTTGCGCGACCGAAGAGGAACGACATGGTGATACGCCGTGCTCAGGGGCAGCTTGGGATTGAGGGGATCCAGGCCTCCAGAGCTGTTTTTGGGGCGGACGGGTGCTAAATGGTGGGTGGGACAATCAGGCGCCGAAATCGACCATGCGCTGAAGCTCTAGATGCGGTGAAATGACGGTGGTGTCTAACTGAGAGAGTCTTGCGAGAGGATAATACAAGGTCGCAAGTCTGTACATTTGGTGTTTTGGTCGCGACTCCCATGCAGTTGCTGGGGTTGCTGGTCGACTGCACATTGACGCAAGTTGCGGTGACTGAGACAATCATCGAAGAGAGGTACCGCTCCACCAGATCTGCCGCGAAGAGGACCTTCGATACTGGGGTAGACTGGTTGCGGGTACTCAGCACGCCGCGCTCGGACCCTGAGGAGGGGCAGCACGAGACGCATATCAGGACTGCGATTCTACTACACAACGAGATCGGTAGCAAATTCCCATAGGTAGTACGGTGACGAAGATGTGGAAAATGGAAAAGACTATTCTTAGACAAGGCGATCGAATATTTCACTGCTCATTTCCAACTCAGCCAGCCCTGAAGTTAAGAGCCTCGTCCTTAGGTAGGTGGGCATGCCAGTGCCACCCCACCTTGAGTCACGACTCACTCGGGTCCTTTAGAAAAAAGAACCCCTCCATCCAACTTGGTGACTGATCTTCCACCTTTTCCTTGCCGTTGCTCCTCTCTTCAACGTGACTTTGGACAGTTGGAAGGTTGCGCCTTTCTCTGGAAGTACCACTTGTTCCTCTGAAGGTTTCGTCACCCAAAGATCTCCTTCGGGTCAACGAGGCACCCCGCAAAGACCTCCAGCCAACGCCCACCATGTCCATCGACTTCCCCAAGGCAGAGGAGGCCGTCCTTGAGCAATGGCGCGAAATTGGCGCCTTTGCGCGTCAGCTCGAGCTTTCCGAGGGCCGTCCTCGCTACACCTTCTATGATGGACCGCCCTTCGCGACAGGTCTTCCCCACTACGGCCATCTCCTGGCATCGACCATCAAGGACATTATCCCCCGATATTGGTCCATGAAGGGCTTCCACGTCGAGCGTCGATTCGGATGGGATACCCACGGCATCCCCATTGAGCACGAGATTGACAAGAAGCTGGGCGTCACGGGCAGGCAGGCCGTCATGCAGTTCGGTCTCGACAGGTACAACGCCGAGTGTCGCGCTATTGTCATGCGATTTGCGGGCGAATGGCGCCACACGATCGATCGTCTGGGTCGCTGGATCGACTTTGACAACGACTACAAGACCATGGACCCGAACTTCATGGAATCGGAATGGTGGGCTTTCAAGCGACTCTTCGACAAGGGCTTGGTCTACCAAGGGTATCGCGTGATGCCCTATTCCACGGCACTCACCACGGCCCTGAGCAACTTTGAGGCCAACCAGAACTACCAGGACGTGAACGACCCCGCGATTGTTGTGTCCTTCCCCCTTGTTGAGGACCCGGACACGGCCCTTCTTGCCTGGACGACGACTCCCTGGACTATGCCCTCGCATCTCGGCCTCGCCGCCCACCCCGACTTCGAATATGTCAAGGTCAAGGACGAGAAGTCTGGCAAGACATACATCATCCTGGAGAACCTCCTGACGACGCTCTATAAGGATCCCAAAAAGGCCAAGTACACCATCACCGGCAAGATCCTCGGCAAGGACATGCTGGGCTGGAAGTATCTGCCCCCCTTTGACTACTTCTACGAGGACTTCAAGGATGTGGCCTTCAAGGTTCTCAACGCCACATATGTGACGGCCGACAGCGGTACCGGTATCGTTCACCAGGCCCCCGCCTTTGGTGAGGACGATTATAACGTGGCCGTGGAGGCTGGTATCGTCACGGAGAACCGCCCGGCGCCTGACCCGATCACGGACACTGGCAAATTTACAGCTCGCGTCCGTCACTTTGAGGGCATGCACGTAAAGGAGGCAGACAAGCACATCATCAAGCACCTGAAGAACGAGGGCCGTATCGTCGTTGATTCTATGCTGAAGCATTCATACCCAATGTGCCCACGGTCAGATACCCCTCTGATCTACCGTGCTGTACCTTCGTGGTTCATTCGCATCCCTGAGATCGTACCGGACATGCTGAAGAACATCGAGGGGACACACTGGGTGCCATCCGCTGTCAAGGAGCGCCGCTTTGCCAACTGGATTGCAGGCGCCCGTGACTGGAACGTCAGCAGGAACCGATATTGGGGCACTCCCCTCCCCATCTGGGTCAGCGACGACGGCGAAGAGCGCGTCTGCGTTGGAAGTGTGCAAGAGCTGCGCGAACTGAGTGGTCACGCCGAGGAGATCAACGATCTTCACCGCGACAAGATCGACCACATCACGATCCCCAGTAAGCAGGGCAAGGGTGACCTGAAGCGCGTCGAAGAGGTCTTTGACTGCTGGTTCGAGTCTGGCAGCATGCCATTCGCTAGTCAGCATTACCCCTTCGAGAACGTCGATAAGTTCGAGGCATCCTTCCCTGGCGACTTCATCGCGGAAGGTTTGGATCAGACTCGTGGTTGGTTCTACACGTTGGTCGTCATGGGAACCCACCTGTTTGGACAGGCTCCGTTCAAGAACTGTGTCGTCAATGGTATTGTCCTGGCCGAAGACGGCAAGAAGATGTCCAAGCGTCTCAAGAACTACCCCGACCCTAACGTCATCATGGCCAAGTATGGATCCGACGCACTCCGCTTGTATCTCATCAACTCCCCCGTGGTACGTGCCGAGCCGTTGCGCTTCAAGGAGTCTGGCGTGAAGGAGGTTGTGCAAAAGGTGCTCCTCCCTCTCTGGAACAGCTACAAATTCTTCGAGGGTCAAGTGGCGCTTCTCAAGAAGGCCGAGGGCGTCGACTACATGTGGGATCCGAGCATGGAGTCGAGCAACACCAATGTCATGGACCGTTGGATTCTAGCCAGTTGCCAGAGCTTGCTCGAGTTTGTTAACGAGGAGATGAAATGTAAGTGATGGCCTTTGTGGGTGTGGATGAACATGGCTGATATGAGACATAGTCTACCGCTTGTACACAGTCGTGCCCCGTCTTCTGGAGCTCATCGACAACACGACGAACTGGTACATTCGATTCAACCGTCGCCGCCTCAAGGGTGAGGGTGGCTTGGACGACACACTCCACGCTCTCAACGCGCTCTTTGAGGTGCTCTATACCCTTTGCCGTGGCCTGGCGCCCTTTACACCCTTCCTGACCGACAACATCTACAAGAGGCTGCTTCCTCATATCCCCGAGAAGCAGCGTGCCAAGGATGCCCGTAGTGTGCACTTCCTCGATTTTCCCGAGGTCCGCAAGGAGCTTTTCGATCCCGTCGTTGAGCGAAGGTTCGGCAGGATGCAGAAGGTCATCGAGCTCGCCCGTGTGTCGCGTGAGCGTCGTGCCATCGGCTTGAAGCACCCGCTTAAGACCTTGGTGGTCATCCACCGTGAGCCCCAATACCTTGAGGACGTCAAGTCTCTGGAAAAATACATCTGCGAGGAGCTCAACATCCGCGACCTGGTGCTCACGTCGGATGAGAACAAGTACAATGTTCAGTACAGCGTTGTCGCCGACTGGCCGGTGTTGGGCAAGAAGCTGAAGAAGGATCTGGCTCGGGTCAAGAAGGCACTGCCTACTCTGACGAGCGAACAATGCAAGGCGTACGAGATGGAGAAGACCATTGTGGTTGACGGAATCCCTCTTGGGGAGGGCGACCTGGTTGTGCGCCGTGGCGTGCAGGAAGACGAGACGTCCAAGAACCTCGAGACCAACACGGACAGCGACGTTCTGACCATCCTGGACACGGAGATACACCCTGAGCTAGCCCAAGAGGGTCTGGCCCGTGAGGTCATCAACCGCGTGCAGCGTCTGCGCAAGAAGGCTGGTCTGCAGCCTACCGATGACATCAAGATGGAGTACAAGGTGCTCACTGACCCTGAGAGCATCGGGCTGGAGGAAGTGTTCTCATCACAAGGGGCGTTCTTTGAGAAGTCGCTGCGCCGGCCCATTGACAAGCAGGCTGGCTCGGAGACGGAGGGGCTCATTGCAGAGGAGGATCAAGAACTGCAGCAGGCAACATTCTCGCTTCGGTTGCTGAAGCTATGAGGAAGTGGTGATTTTGCATTTGGTAGATTTAAATGATATTATGAGGGATAGATAAGAGTCTTAGGCAGTTCGGAATACCATGTAGAGATATTTGCAGTTACTTTTTCGACGCAAGCTGCAGATAGACCGTGTTAGTATGTGCGTGCTTGGTACATTCTTCTTATAGCTCACCAGATAGCAGTCCTTCAACCTCATAAACTCTTTGGCACACTTGTCCTTGTGCACGGCATTGTAATCTGCCACTATACACTTGCCATATGCAGCGGCCTGCAGAATTGTTAGATCAGCCCGTTGGACATCCTCGTGGTCAAGCATACTTCGACAGAGCACTTTGAAGTGGCGGCCGCGAATTTCTGAATCGGGCGCGTCTTGGCAGGATTCATCTTCGATGCAAAATGATGCCGACTGAGGGCTTGGTTGAATCCACGTCGATGATGAAGTCTATTGTGAATCTCTAGGGTATGGTGCATAACTGGGTGATATGCATCTAAGAGGAGGCATCCCACCAGCCACTCACTTTACGCGCGCTGGCGTGTGCGTTCAATTCGCGACGGCTGTCGTTGTGGACGCGACGCAAGGCGCCCTAGAGCGAAATCATTCTTTGTTCCAATGGTCCATTCATAATTGTGACTCGACATGACCCGATCCTGAACGCGCAGCCAGACTCTTCTCCCACGACAATATTGCAACTCTGCGCGCCTACCTGGGTATCTCGGACACGACGTCGCAACGCGATAACTTCATCTTGGCTGCAGCTCCGTCGCAACTTGAGCTCCAAGTTCCAAGAGCAATTGCAGTCGGCGCATGGCGCAACGCGCCCATACACGCCTGTGTTGATTATGGATCGATAACAGAGTCCACAGAACGCCTCAAGTGGGTGGAACGGCCTCTCAACTAGGAAGTCATACTAATGCGCTTGTGGCAGTGGCATTTTCAGATTATTCTACCAATCAAGAATACAGTGCTCCGCCTTCCGATGATGAAGGCGCAAGTTTCACCGAGTCGGCGCGCTCGGTGAAGGATCCTTACTACTCAAACGAAGGTACGAGAAGACCTCATGGTAATTGCACGATCATTTCTGACCTCTCCTGTCCAGAAATCGCCATCCTACACTCAATTGTTGCTGCTGCGGAAGAGCGCGTCAACCATGGCCGCGACCCAAAGCCTTTGCCAGTCGCTGCGCTTTTTCAAGCCTACGACGACATCTTGCCCGAATACGGAATCGACCCCGACGAGGACAAGCACTTCTCTGCCTTCATTTTCCGCATTGGGGGCGAGGAGGAGCACGAGACGCTGGGGGACAAGTTCCAGGCTATCCTGGGCCGCATGGGAATAGCGCTCGAATTTGGCGACGATACTTCAGCCTCCCTCCACAACTCCTCTCGGTCCCAAGAGGACGGACAATCGACGCGACCGCTGGAGACCAGAAAGGGCGATACTTCTGCTTCCGTCACTGTGCCGCCCGTGGGGATTCGAAGATATGAGCAGCCAAAACCGACTGTCACCGAATATGAGTCGGACGAAACGAAGGAATCTTCTGGTTCACCTGAATCTACTCGACCTGCGGATCAGCATAATCACAATGGGGTCGAAGATTCATGGGATGATTCAAGTTTTGATGCTGATCCCGAAGTCGAAGCCGCGCTCCAGGCCGCTAGGCAAGTCGCTGCGGCCAATGCGTTGGATCGATGGCGGGATGCCGTCGCTGCCAGACATCCCATGGAACCAGAGGCAGTATCTCGTGCAAAAGATGGGAAGCAGGCACCTGCATCTCACCCTCCAGTCGCTCCAAGCAATGGCATGCAGGGTGTTCATTTCAAATCAGATCGGCTATTCCAGCAGCTACAACCTGTAGAGGAGACGACGGCCGAGTATCGACTCGACGAGCGTCCACAGCCATTCCACCCATCCGCTGAATCAAGGATACCGACGCAACAACGCCGTTCCCTACTCTCGGCACTGGACATCTGGAGGCATTCCAAGGAGCAACACAAAGGGCAAGCTGCCAGCGCGCAAGCTCCAGGAGCAACAGGGACACGACCGGGTGTGACGACAACGAAGAAACCGCTTACACTGCCCGCAGCGACAGATGCGACTTCTCCACAGGACGTGGGAGGAACGTGGAGGCGGTCACTGGAGAGAGCGGTAGCAAAGTCGAACAAGCCATTGGAGACACCAAAGCAGGCGCAGAAGCTCACGGCCGCCGCGCAAGCAGAAGAGCAGAGAATGCAAGCTATAGCAGCCCGGGCTCGTGAAATCTTCCTTGCTAGCAAAGTGTTCAACCACTGGGCCGACAAGACAGCGCGGCGGCTTGAGCGAGAGGCTGTGGCCCGACGCCATATGATCCGGTTCCGCTGCTTCCATGCTTGGAGCCAGCTGCCCACGTCAAGACTGCCCGAGGTGGACCGCCTTCGAGTTGTCACCGCTTCGCAGAAGCTCAAGCGAGCTGTGGCAGAAAACGAAGAACAGCTCCGCATCTCTGCTTCGGCGTCATACAATTCGCACAGAAGCAAAAAAGTAACAGCTGTCCTTGACAGGTGGCGATGTGTTATCAGAGCGGCCGACACTCGCCAAAAGGTCGCATTGCGTGAACGGCTGAACACCGCGAGGCGCTGGATGCGTCGCGCTGATAATGACGCGAGCCTGGAAGCGGCTCTCCACACCCATCGGCATTTGATGCACAATCTGAATGCTTTAATCAGGTGGCAAGGCAAAGCCGAGCTTGGGGCGGCCAGACAACAGGCGTCAGTGCAACTGGGATTCGAGAAGAGAGCGCACGACCTTTTGAGGATCTGGTGGGATCAGGCCGAAGTTGGCAGACGTGCTCAGGCTTATCGCCGAGCTTACCTCATGGACAAGGCCAGCCACGCATTCGATCTCTGGAATCTGCGAGCCAGGGCGCAAGCCTTCAAATGGAGGAACGAATATGTATCGGCCAGTCGCACTTTCGATCTGTGGGAGCACAGGGCAAATGCCAACGTTCAACAACAACGTGTGGCTGCTGCTCATTATGAGTTGCGCGCGCGCGCAAGAGTACTATCGACCGTACGCACAAGCATATCTCAGCGCGCGCAGCTGACCAGGCGGAACAACAACGCCCGTCTATATATATGCGCTACGCGGCTCCTGGACGTGGTGCAAAAAACGGTGGCTCGTCGCCAAGCACAGGATAAAGCGACGCTCAGGAAGAGGTTGGAGGAGGTCTACCGTCGCTTTAGCAAAGAGAAGAAGAAAAGATCCTGCCTTGCAGCCGTTGATAGGTGGCGAGCTGCGGCCACTCACGACCAACACGAATTTGATCGGGCGTCGAGGATTCGGGCGACCAAGGAGCAGGAACATAGGGTGGCGATGCTAGACACCTGGGCCGGCCGAACGATTGAGCACCAACAAACCAACTACCAAATGCGGCTTCGCCACGCGGTGGGTTTCCTCAACAGCTGGAGCGAGCAAGCGGTCTACCATCAAGAACAAGATGGAGTGGCTCGGGAGACGTGGATCTTCAAGAAGCGATCGCGCTACCAGAAGACGTGGTCGAATTCGGCTATTCAACAAGGTGGCCAGGCTCATACAGCTGTTGCTCTCAGCAGACGCTATGCTCGCAGCTCGCGAAACAAGGCTTTCCAGCGGTGGAGAGGACAGTGTCTCCAGGACGAAACCATTGCTGTACGTCAAACGCCTGCAAGAGCGTCTCTCGGAAGGTCAAGTCTGATGCACACCACATCACGTATGCCGTCCGCTCGAACAGCTCAGTATGGCATGGACACTCCGAGCAAGGGGACCTGGCAGCCTCAGCTGGCCGCAAGTGGCATCTTTGCAAGGACAATGCCGCCCCTCAGAGAAGCAGACGAGGATCAATCGCCTTTACTCAGCCCGACAGGCGCAAGCAGTGGTGCGCAGCTTGAACAGGGGCCAAGGCGATTCCCGAGACTGCTCCCAGCAACACCAAACGTAGCCTCCTCAACTACACCTAGGGGGCCACCACCTGCGATCTTTGGGAATGAGGTTGCCATCCGTCCAAGAGCAGCACCGAGCGCACTCCGCCCAGCCCAGTCTGCGTCACAATCGAGCATGGCGAGACCAGTACTTGCCACGCCATCGCGACCCGCCAATGCTGGCTCCCGGACCCAGCCTGCAAGCGCTCAACACCCGCTTCGATTCGCGTCCACCCAGAGGCCCTTGTTTAGTACGCCTGGGCCAAGGACAGAGCAACAAGAACGCCGCCCAACTCCGCCACGAAGCTTGTTCGAGTCCTACGGGCAGAGACGCTCAGCGTCGCCAACACGGCGATCACCAACAAAAGAGAGGGAAGAGAGGGAGAGCTCGCCTGATATATATAGTGATGGCCGGTGATTACGCATGAACGGATACTACGGGAGAGAAAAAGGTGCATTGCATAGGCGTTTTGGATAGGTAGGATATGTCAGACGTGCCGACTGGAAGCACCTGACTTGGCAGGATACCCTCTTGTGACTTTCTGGAAGACGTGGCGTCGGGAGATCTCGCTGGAAATGTTCAAGTTTTGAATGAAGCATCGTGCCTCGCTGTGTTCTACCGTACTTGCTCTGTAGTGCCTTCTTAGTCTTCAGCAATCAGCCTCCCCAGGTAAAGGGGGGAGGATCCCCGAGAAATCACCGCGCTAGCAGCCTTGACGTGCGTCACGTCGCGTCAAGCCGACATGCAGGTTAACCCTCCTCCAACCATCGTGCCACCATTGATCCTTGCACGCTCGAGCATAGCGTCTTGTGGCCCTCATCTACGGTGGACATCCTTTCCGCACCCTCCGAGCTATACACTGGCGATGCGATCTCTTCTGCGAGGCCGGTAGTATGAGTGCAGTCCTGCCGGGCAAGCCCCAATCCCGGCTTCAGGGTCTGGCGACAGGCTGCTGGGACAGCAGGCACATTAATGTACGGGCGGCAACAGTGGTCGCACGCTTCAGCTAATCGTCGCAGGTATATATAACGGGCAACGCAATAACCATCCTCAGCGACCCGCGGACGATCCTGCAAACCATCTACGATGACGACGAGCAACCGCTAGAGGCGATCGCCCTCGACGAGAGCACCGGCAAGATCGCGAGCTGCACTTCGGAGCAGGTACGGATATACAGGCCATTCGGGCTGCGAGAGAACGCTCTCAAGTGGGCGCTTGAGGCGGCATTTACCATCCCGCACCCCGTGTCTAATTCTCCATGCGCCTTGTCTTGGGGAGGTTCCGAGGAGCTGCTACTGGGGACGAACTGGCTCTCGCTGTACTCGACCCGGGGCGAGCCGGCATGTGTGTGGGAAAGGGAGCTCCCCAGTCCCGTCAAATTCGCCTCACTCTCCTACGACTCGGCCTACATTGCTTCCGTTGGCTACCATGATAAGTTGCCTAAAGTCTGGCGACGTCTCGCCTATAGTTCGGACGAGGCCAGCTTTGACATGAACTATCTGCGACATCCCGAGATCGTCAGCTCCCTCCGTTGGCGCAAGCCTTTTCATGTCGATCAATCGGTGGACAATGTTCTATATACGTTCTGCGTTGATGCAGCCGTGCGAGTCTGGACGCCGACCGAGTCCCACGACGGAAAGCACTGGCAGCTATGGGGTCAAGTCAATGTGGGAGCATCCTTGGAAGATGGCGAGCCTGCCGCACAGGATGTGCAGCTTGCCTTTGTCGTAGACTCGCGGGACTTTACGCCTTCGGTCGAGCGAGCGGTACAGGATCGAATGACAAACGACACAGTCGTGGACGATGTCGCGCTGGAACATCTGGTGGCCGTGGCCAGGAAGAGCCCCGAGATATGCATCGCGGTCGACAGCTTTGGACTCTTGTCCGCGTGGGCGCTCGAGGACGTCAATAGCAGTACGGCGGAAAAGCCAGGGATTTTCAACATTGTACAAATCCGGTCGCGACAACTCGAGTTCCTCAGTGGCTTCCTGTCGCTGCGACAATTGCCTCACGTGGAAATACAGACATATTGCGACAAGGCCAGCGGTCGACTGCACATACTGTTGCATTCGTTTGATGGTAGGATAGGCGTATTCACCACTAACATTGCGGATCTGCTGGATCCCACCACCAACGACCGTCGACTGTCACTCGAGACGATATGGTCGGGCCACTCGGGTTCGATCAGAAAGATGGTCCGCAACTTTAGCGGAAAGGCCGTCGTGACGCGCACGGAGCAAGGAGAGAGCATCGTCTGGGGACATACCCAGTCGCGGACGAACAAGACGGGTCCGACACTGTCCCGGCGGTGTGTGATACTCGAGGAAGGCCGCATCCATCGCATCTCGGTGCTGCGAAAAGGCCGTTTCGTGGTATTCTTGCAGGCGACAACGGTCACTCTGTGGGACTGTCGGTCGGAGCGTGCTCTTTCGCTTGGCCAATGCTCCTATGAAGTGGACGGTCAGCCCCTGTGTCTGATTGTGCTGCCGCGTCCGGAGACCCGCGACTACACTACAGCCCACATTGGTACAATTACATCAAAGGGGCGTGGCATTGTGTGGGAGATCAGTCTGCCGCGCTACTTTGACGATCCAATGTCCATGGCGGGGGGTGGCATCAAGGAGTTCTGTCGCTTTGCACTGGAAGACATCGAGGGCCTGTCCTACGTGCTTCCAGTCGACCCGGCTGGGTCGACCCCCGTTGCGCATGGATTCCTTGATGTCTTTGCAGGCGACGTTGCTATTTCGTACACTGACACGGGCCGAGTTGATTTCTGGACAGCACGTGTTGATCTGGAGAAGCAACACGTCGAGTGGCTGTCGACATGCACAACAGAGACCGGAATATCTGGGCTGTCTTTGGTCAGCGGAAGCACGCTCAAGAAGGCAGCGCTTGCCAATGCAACCCACTCACAGGTCACAATCTGGGATATTGGCGGAGCACGCCTCGAGTTTGAGGAGGACTACAAAACACATAACGTGGTGCAAGATCTGGACTGGACTTCAACACCCGACTCACAGTCCATTCTCGCCGTTGGCTTTCAGTACAAGGTCGTTCTTCTGTCGCAGATGCGCTTTGACTACCTCAACAAGGGGCCGGCATGGGCCCCGATACGAGAAATTGGCATTCGCGACTTGACACCGCATCCCATCGGCGATTCAACATGGCTGAGCGATGGCCACCTGGTGATTGGCGCTGGCAACCAAATGTTCATCCATGACCGCAACTTCTACCCAAGTGAACAGCATGCAGGCTTGATGCGGCTGCCACACCGCAAGGATGGATCGACAGATCTGTTCGAAGCAGTTCAGCGATTCAACGGCCCACTGTCGGTGTTCCACCCTCAGTTCCTCTCGCAGTGCATCCTCGCTGGCAAAAGCGCGCTGGTCAGACGGGTACTGTTCGCCCTGCACCGAACTTTGAAGTATCACATTGAGGGCGAAGAGCTAGATGACTACCTCGGCTTGAGCATGGAGGAATTCTACACAGACCTCGATATGTCCAGTGCCAAATCTGGGAGGCCCAATGGCTACTTCTTCGACGACAAAGGAGAAGGCGAAGAGGAAGAGGAGGAAACGTCATTCACAGAACAAACAGCGGCGGCTGTCAACGAGAAATTGACAAAGATCAGTCTCCCGCAGCTATCAGGCCATGAGCAGATTCAGCTGGCAGACATTGTCGAGTGCGCCGCCTTTGTCGAACGTCAGCGTCGGTCCATGGACGAAAATGGGGCGAGGTTCATGCTCTTCTTCCGACAGCACGCTTTGCTCAAGAGACGAGCCACCGAGATACATCTGTCATGGCGGGAAATCAACTGGGCGTATCACTCAACCAGTCAGGACATTTTAGTAGACTTTGTCTCCCGCCAGAATCATGGCAGCATGCTCTGGGAGCACGCCCGCGAGAGCGGCATCTTCATGTGGCTATCGGACATTACCGCCGTGGTAGGATGCATAGACCCCGTTTCTACTCTTCCATCTGCTAACAACCGCAGAAAGCACAATTCGAGGCCATGGCCCGCAACGAGTACACGAAAAGTGATGAGAAGAACCCAGTGGACTGCAGTCTCTTCTACCTAGCCTTGCGTAAAAAGTCTGTCTTGCAAGGCCTGTGGCGCATGGCAGGCTGGAACAAAGAGCAGGCCATGACACAAAAGCTCCTGGCCAACAACTTTGAGGACCCCAAGTGGAAGCGCGCCGCGCTGAAGAATGCGTATGCGCTGCTGAGCAAGCGCCGTTTTGGTGAGTGCGTTTCGGGCGGGTGATGATGGCGTGAGCTGACGACTCTGCAGCATATGCTGCGGCATTCTTCCTCTTGGGCGATGATCTAGACGGAGCAGTTGATGTCTGTCTCAACCAGCTCAAAGACCTACAACTGGCCATTGCGATTACGCGTGTATATGAAAGCGACAGCGGACCGGTGCTGAACAGGATCCTGCAGGATGCAGTGCTCCCCTTGGCTGCCCGCGAAGGCAACCGCTGGATGGCTTCGTGGGCTTTCTGGATGCTGGGCCGCAAAGACATGGCAGTGCGCGCTCTTGTGGTACGTTTCAAACCTAGTGCTCGTCCGTCTTCACTGCTGACCAGCCCCTTCAGTGTCCAGTCTACACACTGATCGAGACGCCGGGCTCGCCCGACATCAAGTCTCGCCTGTTCCTGACGGACGATCCCGCGCTGGTGGTCTTGTACTCGCAGCTACGCCAACAGACATTCTCGACACTGCGCGGCGCGTCCAAGGTGAGCCCCAAGGCCGAGTGGGAGTTTGTGCTGCACAGTGCCAAGCTCTACGACCGCATGGGGTGCGATCTGCTCGGCTTGGATCTGGTACGGAACTGGGAGTTCCAGAAGGCGGCGTCATCTGGCTTTGGCGGCGAGGTCAACCCCCTCAAGCTGCTGCGGAGGAGAAGCTCGTTGATAGTGGACGACAGACATGGTGGGTTCTTGCAGAAGGGGATGCCGCAGGATGGACCGGCCAAGAAGCAGCAACCTCCGCCGACCATGTTTGAGGAGCCGGATGCGGGATCGTTGCTCGATAGCTTTGGCTTCTGATAGCTTAATTGATAATGATTATTATTTCTAATTGCCTGGTCGGGAGAGCAGCAGGAGATTCGGAGCAGCTTCTTCGGACTGACTGACGTCGGTCGTGCTTAGTCATGTCCGCTTAACGCCGATGGCCTATATGGCATTACTCATGCTCATGCGCCCGTCTATCAACTTGAAGTCTCATCGACATCTGCGCGTCTCACCACCACGTCAAAGCATGGTACCTCCGATACCACCTGGACGTAGTTTCACTGTCCGCAGTGTGGTGGCCGGCCTCGCGGTCGGCACCGTCATCTGCGCGGCGAATGTCTACTTTGGCCTCCAGACAGGATGGGTGTCCATCATGTCCATGCCGGCCAGTCTGATGGGCTTCGCCATCTTCAAGGTGCTCTCGAAACACTTGAGCTTTCCCTTCACACCGGTGGAGAATGTGCTGCTGCAGAGTGTGGCGTGCGGCATGGCCATTATGCCGCTTGGGTGTGGTCTCGTTGGTGTGGTGAGTTGGGCGAGCGTAGAGATGGTGAGCAACAGAACAGGGCTAATGGATGCCACAGATTCCCGCGATGACTGATCTCTTGAAACCAGAGGAGAGGGGGCCCTTGAATTTGAGCGTATGGCAACTCATCGTTTGGTCCTTGGGCCTCTGCTACTTTGGCGTTGTCTTCGCCGTGCCCTTGCGGAAGCAGGTCATCATCAAGGAGCGTCTGCGTTTTCCGAGTGGCTTCAGCACCGCGGTGCTCATCTCGGTTCTGCACGACCAGGGTCACCAATCTCAGAAGGAGTTGGATGCCGCGGCCGAGGGCAAGTTTGCTGCCTTGGTGCCACGAGACGAGCCTCTCCTGGCGTCGGACCGACTGGAGGAAGAGTACGACGACGACCCTGGCGAAGATCTGCAGGATCCAAAGCACGACTGGGCCGGCAACATGCGCCTGTTGCTCATCTGCTTTGGTCTCTCGGGTTTATACACCGTCTCTACCTACTTCCTCCCGGTCTTGCGGAACCTCCCCATCTTCGGGACGGTGGCGGCTAACACGTGGCTGTGGACGCTCAACCCCAGTTTTGCGTATATTGGACAAGGCATCATCATGGGTGCCGAGACGACCCTGCACATGACGCTGGGCGCCATCGTTGGCTGGGCGATCCTCAGTCCACTGGCCAAGTCCAAAGGCTGGGCGCCAGGCGACGTGGGAGACTGGGAGACTGGCAGCAAGGGCTGGATTGTGTGGGTGTCCTTGTCCATCATGCTTGTCGACGCCGTCGTGAGTTTGGCGTACATTGCCCTCCAGCCTCTACTTGGGAAGCACGTAGCACGCCTCTCTAGCGATGTCTACGGGAGGCTCAGAAGCAGCAGGGTCGGCAAGCTACTGCGACTCGACGCGTACGAGTACACACCGCTACGGAACAGGGATGATGAGCATGCTTCCCAGCGAGACTCGGTTGACGATGCTGAGCGCAGACAGACGCTCACGGATGATCTGGATGCTGACGCACCGCCTGAGCAGCGCATCGGGAAAAAGACCGTATCTATCGGCCTGCTCTTGTCCATCGGCCTGTGCGTACTGACTATTTACATCGTTTTTGGCGATCTTGTGCCTGTCTATGCCACTGTCATCGCCGTCTTGATGGCCTTGGTATTGAGCATCATGGGCGTCAGAGCCCTCGGCGAGACGGACCTGAACCCAGTGTCGGGCATCAGCAAGCTCGCGCAGCTCTTCTTTGCTCTGATCATTCCGCAGGGGCACAAGTCAAGCGTGCTGATCAACCTCGTGGCCGGTGCAGTGTCTGAAGCTGTGAGTCAAGCTGCCCACCCCCAGCTGTCTATACCATGATCACGCTGACCTTGTCAGGGCGCCCTTCAAGCGGGAGACTTAATGCAGGATCTCAAGACGGGCCATCTGCTTGGTGCAGCCCCGAAAGCGCAATTCTGGGGTCAGGTCATCGGCGCCACCGCAGGCGCAATCTTCAGCTCGTTCATCTACAGACTCTACACTACGTATGTCCAACCGGCTCTTCACTCTACGGAACTTGACTGACTTTGCAGCGTGTATGAGATCCCCGGCGAGCTCTTCCAAGTCCCCACTGCCTACGTGTGGATCTTCACTGCCCGGCTTGTCACGGGCAAGGGCCTCCCGTACATGGCCACCGAGTGGGCGATGGGGGCTGGAGTTCTCTTCGTGTTCTTCACCCTCATCAGGACATTTTCAGTTGGCAAGGCATGGCGGTCCTGGGTCCCTGGAGGCATTGCCGTGGCTGTTGGCATGTACAATGTCCCATCTTTCACACTGGCTCGAGCCATTGGCGGCATTGGGGGCTGGATATGGGTGCACAAGATGAAGAGGTCAAACACCCCCATGATCATCCTTGCTTCGGTTGGTCTCCCCCCTTTCTTCCATGTATCTGCCAATAATAGAAATCACTAACCTCATCACAGGGCTTCATCTTGGGCGAGGGGTTCCTCAGCATTGTCAACCTTGTCTTGCAAGGGTTCCAAGTTCCGCACTTTTAGACGCCATATCTCCCCTCCCTCTAGTCTATTCCCAAGATTTATCATCATTAGCATCATCATAGATTTATCTACTTCATCTTCCACGAGCGGCTCTTCATTTCCTGGTCGTTAATCGCCCACTTGGCGCCCACTGTCAATGCCCTTGCGTTGTCCTCGGCAACGGTGTAGATGATCTCGCCCGTGAGCTTGGTGCCGGCCTTGAGATCCTTGCGCGAATCATCCGGCGGCATGAGCAGATAGCCCTGCTTCCAGTGCGTGGGTGTCGTGAAGGGCCCTGTCGAGAAGGCGACATTGCCCTGCTTCTGCTTGTTCCACTCTTCGGGGGTGACCTGTGGCGCAGGCGCGGGCTCGTCATGGTTCGTGTTGAAGTGGTTGTCGAACCAGACGAGGAAACCATCCAGCATGTCAATGTCCTTGTCGAGGGTCGACTCCCATTTCTCCGTGAAGAAGAGCTCCTCCTTCTTGACGGTCATGAGGTCCAGAACCTTGAAGGGATAAGGCTTGCCGCAAACAGACTCCTTGGGCACGACCTCGATCCTCGCCTCGTCGTAGATGCCCTCCTGCATCGCCTTGAAGTCGAAGCCGTAGACGTCTCTCCAGTAGTGAATGTGGTCACCGACAAACTCGGGGTCGGCCACGGGCGCAATCCACATGGTCGCCGAGCTGGGGGCCAGGATGCCGTCTGGCTTCAGATACCTGTCCCGCGCGTAGAGCACGCTGGGCAGCATGGCCTCGTACAGGAGAAAGTAGCCCATCCACTCGCTGACAATGACGTCGACCTTGTCCACGGGGAGGACAACGTCCTCAATGGCACCCTTGACGCAGGTGATGACGTCCGACAGACCGTTGTTGAAGATGTTCTCGCGGGCCTTGGTCATAATGTCGGACTTGTCCACGGCAATGACCTGCTTGGCGCCGGCTTTGGCGCAGAACATGCTGAGGATGCCCGTGCCGCAGCCAATGTCCAGAACGACCTTGTCCTTGAAGAGCTGCTTGTTGTTGTAGATGAAGTCGCGGTAGGCGTCTGTGCGGACGGCATCCTTGAGCATGGTCTCGTGAATCTCTGCGCACAGCGTTAGTTTCTTGACGGTTATCCACCTTCATTGCATTTCTGCCAAGATCATACCGTGTGCTGCATATGACTCAAAGTAGTATTCCGAGTCATCCTTCTTGGGCGCGGATGTCAACGGGGTCGGCTCAGTGTCGTCGCCCCAGCGCTTGTCGAGGGTCTGTTCTACCGTCAGGCGGTAGTTGGCGAATTGGTCGCGCAGGTTCTCCAGCTCTTCCTCCAGTGCCATGGCGCGCGTGGCAGGATCCGCGGACGTCTCCTGATCCGCCTCGAGGACCTCGTCGAGCGTGAACAGCAGAGCGTCGTTTTCGAGCACAGGCTTCAGGTACTGGTCGTCCTCGAGGTCCTTGGCGGAGATCTGCTCAGGCAGAGGCTGGTTGTGCTGCACCTTTGATCGAACGTAGTTGACGAGCTTGATCGCGCCATAAAAGTCCAGTCCCAGTCTCTTGACAACGGCGAGCAAGTCAAAGTTGTGCTTGTCCTTGCAGTACGCCAGCATCTCCTTGGGATTGGGGAAAGTCTGCTCGTCAAAGAGCGACACGACAGTCGAGGGCTCCTCATCCGGCTCGACGTCTTGCCAATCGCTGCCCTCCGAGCTCTCGGAGGCGCTGCTGGCCGAGTCGCGATCGCGGTTTCCAGGCATGTCGATTGTTGTATTCAAAAAAGCGCCGTGGTGGTGTGATGGTGAAATTTAGTCTCGTACTGTATCTCACATGAAAATATCTACAAAACTGCCCGCATCCAACCAGCTAAATAAGGCTGTGACGCAGGGTCTGATCTGCGGGGTGTGGGTCCACATACTACAAAATTGAATCGCTACCTTGATGGATTATTTCATGAATTTCTTTCCCCATGATTTGATCGGAACACGTATATATATGTGAGATCGCTTACTCAGGTATCTAGTCGACGTCGCTGTCGTCACTTCCATCTTCATCATCATCATCGTCATCATCCTCCCCATCAGAGACCGTCTCGCCCAGCTCACGCAGGCGAGCCTTGTACTTGGCGACCTTCTCCTCAAGATCACCGAATACCATGAGGAGATCGTCGAGCTCAGATTGCGTAGAATCCTTCGCCTTGATGGCCTCTGACTTTTCGGACTCGGCCTGGTCACTGTTAGAGTGTGCGATGCGGGGTGACATGGTCTCGCTCACCTTTTTGGCCTTGGTACCCGCGGTATCGGAAACCTTATGTGCTTCTTCAAGTTCGCCTTCCAGATCCTTCATCTTGGTTTCGAGGTCCTTGATCTTCTTGTTGAGTTTCTTGGCTTCTGCCTCGGCCTCCTTCACCTTCTTGTTGGGGTTGGCCAGGGCCTTGGTGTGCTCATCCTTGAGGGCCTGCAGCTCTTGGCTCTTGGTCTTGTTGGCCTGTGATGGTCCGTCAGCACGGCATGAACGTCAAGTACAGCGGCGGGTTCTTACCTTCATCAGATCGACTTCTAGTCGGCTGATTGTAGCCTTAAGGTCGGCGACCTCGGCCTCTGTTCGTCGTTGCAGACGCTCCGCTTCCGTTTCAGCAGTCTTCTTGACCTGCGCCACCTTCTCATCGAGCTCTGTGTCTTTGGATTTGAGCTGTTCGCGTAGCTTAGATAGCTCCTTGTCCTTCTCGGATATTTGCGTCGTCAGTTTCTTTTCGCTTTCGGCTTGTTGTGCCTTGTGCTTCTTCTCAATGTCCGTCTGCTGCGCTTGGAGCTTCTTCTCGACCTCCGCTTGCTGCGCTGCGAGCTTCTTCTGTAGCTCTGCCTCTTTAGCAGCGTGTTGATTCTTCAACTGCTCAGTCTGCTTCTCAAAGGCTGAGTTGCGCGCCGCGAGCTGTCTCTGCAAGTCAGCCTCCTTGGCAGAAATCTGAGATCGCAGCTGCTCCATTTGCTTCTCGACAGCAGCATCCTTGGCTGTGTGCTGCGTCTGCAGCTTCCTCAAGTCGGCCTCGTGGGCTTTTGTCATGGCCGTCATCTCTTCTTTTGCCTTGTTGAGCTCGACAGCTACCAGGTCTGCGGCGCGGCGATGCTCCGTCTTCTCTTGACCAAGCTGGTTCTCCAGCGATGTCACGGCGAGCTGGGAATCCTCCAGTGCTTTATCCTTATCGCTAAGCTGAGCGCGCAGCGAGTCGACCAATTCACGTGAAATGCCTTTCTGAACGCCATTGTTGATCACGGAAATCTCCAACCCTGGTTCCCGATCAATGCAGCGCGTGATGCGGCTGCAGTTGTCCTTGAGAAAATTCACAAAGATGCTGTCAAGGAAGACCTCGGGCAATGTCCCAGAGTCGTCGGCTTTTTGCGGAATGACTTCGAAGTCGCGGACCAATGGATGACTGCGTAGCTCGTTGAGGCGGTCGTGGTACGTGTCGCGATCAAGCCTCGACAAGAGTATCGTTTGAAGACTGGCGCGTGGTATGGGTGAATCTCGTGTGGAAAACTCGTACGCTACGCCCAAAAGCATGGTGCAGAGACCTTGCACAAGGTCGCCTCCAGAGACTACTGGTTGCAAGATGGCCTGAATGAGGCTCTGGATGTTGCTGCCCTCGCTGAGAAAGTCGTTGACGGCGTCAATGTCTTCGTACAACCAACCAAGCAACAGCATCAAGTAGCCCACCAGGATCCGCGGGTCGTCATCGCGACGCAGGCCCGCCACAAGATGGGCCGCCACTGTCTGGATGCTAGTCACCACCTCCTCGCCGTTCTCTGCGTCACCCTCGGTGAGAGCAGACGCCTTTGACTTGGCAATTGGGTTATCGTAGAGGAGATGGAACGCGATCACGGCCGCGAACCACAGGCGATACGGGTCACTGGGTGAAAGGACTGCTGCTGGGTTCATCAACACAGTCAGGACGTTGGTCACCTCGTCGCTCCCCGACTGGTGACCCTCGATGGCTCTGGATAGGAAATGCGCCTTCACTTCGGCATGATTCGAGAAATATGCCTTGAGACACTCGCAAGCTGCAAAGCGGACGTCGAATGCCCCTAGATCCTGAACACTCAGCGTAAGGTCGAGCAGGCCGTCAATCACGTAGACTTTTGCATGCCCATTGGTCTTGTCGCCGTTCTCGTGGATCTCTTGGAGGGGTGCCGTCACCATGAGCTGGGCAAAGCTCTCTTGCATGCTAGCGTTGTTCCTGATCAAGTCGCCAACGGTCACCAAGGCCTCGCCTTTTATTGTCGCGTGCGCCTCGTGACTGAAAGCAAGCTGCAGGACGCTGAATGCCAAGCCTTGTTTCCAAAACGCAGCTTGGTTCTGCGCGGTGCCCTTGGAACCGGTCAGGAATAGGCGAACCACCGCCAAGAAGGCATATAGATTGCGATTGCGTTGCGCCAAGGCCCACTCGGCGATCTCAGGCTCCTGGCTTTGTACTTGCAACAGTTGCGCAAGAAGCTCTGCGAGCTTGCCGATGCAGCCTGATTCTCTGAAAAGCGATTGGTTGGTCTTGTTGCGCCGGAGGAGGTTGACGAGTAGAATGAAGCAGTCCTCCACTGACCGCCCCCCTTCCGCAAGTGAACCATCCGCAGCGACGATGTTGAAGATTCTGTCAAAGGCGTTCTCGAAAGCAACGAGCTTTTGGATGTCGATCGAGTTGTGGGTCAAGTAGATTAGCAGAGTGACGGCCTCGTTGCGGACAGCCTCTCGCTGGTCGTCCAGCGCCGCCACGAGCCGTGGAATACCAGAAGGAGCTGTGAAGATGCACTCCTTTGTACGTTCAGCTCTAGCATTGGAGATGGCGGCGAGCAATTGGAGCGAGTATAGCCGACCGTAAAAGTCGTTGTTTTCCAAAAAGTCCAGTAGCAAGGTGATGTTCTCCGCACGTTGTGTGAATTCGTCAGCCATCCACAATGCCACCTCGTCTGAAGCTTCTGGGCTATCCTCATTCGGGTTGAACAGCATCAGGAGAGTCTCGAGGACCACCTTGACCGTGTCCACATCCTCGCCATCTT